CAATGACATTAATCGATGTTAGATCATAAATGGTCATTGGTATGTAATCCAGTGGTTGTGAAAAATGTAAATTATATAATAGATCTATGTAACGTTTCGTATTAGCAAACATAAAATTGAAACTTTGTTGAAGAAATAAAAAGTGTTTATATTGTCTTGAAATTCATAAATATTGATATATATAGAATGAATTCCTTTGAATCCGATCAGGTCGATATTAACATCTGTGTGCGTTTCACTTAACCGACCTGACAATAGTACCAGCCACGTACGGCTTATTGAAGAACATGTAGACATGATTCTGGGCGGAATTTGTACCAAATTCATTTGGATTGTAGCCAATACTAATTTATACTTTATGAAGTATAAATATACCGGTACGTCTTTGATTAAATTTATATTCTATGTTATATCGCTTCACATGGACTTTAAGTAAGCCATGCAGAGTTGTTGCCCCTGTACATATTCAAATTATTTCAAGAAAGAGTTATTTCTCATCTTATGATATAGATATTTGTAATTTAATATCTGTATCTAGCCAAATAAATCATAAGAATCAATATTGATGGAATTGAATAAAAAAAATACTATAAGCAGTAGGGTAGACCTATTATATTGCATTTAATTAGATAATCGTCTTGTTTATATATACATTTTTGTAATCAATATAGCCCTACACGTCAGCAAAACTGGATCCGGACATTTCCCTCACACATATTTTTGGCAACACTGGCAATTCCCCTCCCATATTTTCATGCCGTCTTGTCCCTGTGGTTATGGTTACTTTACAAATCCCCCTAAAAGTGAACAGTAAAGGAAGACAGTACATATTAAGACCAAAACAAATCCACCATTAAACCTTCAGTAAGCTTGCTATGTGACCCGATTTAACTTTCAAAATGGAATTTAATCTTCCAAGTGGTCAAGTAAAAGACTCTATGGATTTAACCCATAGCCTGCTGGGGGGGGGGGGGGTCAAAATACTACCTTTACCACCAGTGCAGACCACGATGAGCAGCAGACACATCTGTTCCATCTGATCATGGTCTGAACAGTTCGCTTATCAGTCAGTACATAAGATTATGAATGTTTGTGTCAAGATTGAAAGATCGACACGTCCATTTAAGATATATTTAAAGTGTTAAGGGCGGACAGTTCTCCACCCGTTGTTTATTTCACTTCGATAATCAGTTCCAATAAATATGTACATGTCTTCTTGGCAAAAATGACCTTTTGCTTATTGACACTATATCTCTTTAATGGAATTTAGGGCATTAATAAAGGGAATATGACCGTTTTGTCAAGGTTGAAGGAGGGGACTTTGTCTGGGGTGAAACAACGGTGGGAGGGAAATTGTCCGGGCTGTTAAAAATCGCTCGAAATAATAGGGGAAGGGCAATTGTCTGGGGTTCCTGCCAAGCGGGTTATATTAGCTTACAAAAGTTTATACTGGGTCATATAACCGATCAAAAGTCCTAACTGCAAATAACGTATTTATTTATCAATGCAGGTGATGTCTCTAATCGTTTCCGTATTTAATAATTACTACATTAGATAAAGTAGACCTGGGGATACTTCTTCTAAAACTACATTAGGAACAAGAAAACTTAATCATCAGGCATCTATTAAAGTTTGTCAATCTTCTGCAAGTAGTTGGTAAAATATTGTAAAATTTCGTTGAAGGTAATGATAAAAATATGCAAAATGGGCAATGGATAACAAAGGACTCTAGAGAAAATAACAAGACTATATTGCAAGTTACTTCATTTTCTTTTATTCTGCCCTCATTTATTTAATCAAATATTAATAACACAAACAAATGACAAAATTGACATGGCATTCTGGTATCATATATCTTAATGTTTATTCGTTCATTGTACAAAAATAAACTGGCAGTAATCAAAAATGACAAATAGTAGTTTTAAACATGTCTGCATTTATCATGTTATAAATGGATTTATCCTGATATAAATGTTTAAATTTGTTGTAGTGTTTCAAATTAAAACTAAACTGCTAGTGTGAAAAAATACAGTTTTTTATGACATAATTGCTGCTGTTTTTGCTTTATGTTAAAAAATGAAATTCAAATAAATATTACATCAATGATCAAATAATGATCTCATTAAAATCAACTTTTCACATTTTCACATCACCCTATGTTACCAAGTGTAATGTAGTGATGTGAAAGTTAAGATATGATTTTAAAGTGACTGATTAAATATCTAATGAATTCAACAGAAAAATCTTTGACACAATACTGAATATATAAAATAAAAACAATACAATTAATCTATGTGGATAAAAACAAGTTGTAACAAGGATTTCATGACTTTCATTACAACTACATGTATGTATTTCAGTTCTATAAACTGAAAATACTATATAAAGTTAAGTCCCCAAATCACACAAAGATAAGCTGACAGGTGTCTATATTTTACCAGTCCTGAATTCTTTTACCAGTACCAATAAGTACTCTCAAAGATATGACCTTGAATTCTTTTACCAGTACCAACAAGTACTCTCAAATATATGATCTTGAATTATTTTACCAGTACTAATAAGTACTCTCAAATATATGATCTTGAATTATTTTACCATTACTAAGAACTCTCAAATATATGATCTTGAATTCTTTTACCAGTACTAATAAGAACTCTCAAATATATGATCTTGAATTATTTTACCAGTACTAATAAGTACTCTCAAATATATGATCTTGAATTATTTTACCAGTACTAATAAGAACTCTCAAATATATGATCTTTTATTATTTTACCAGTACTAATAAGAACTCTCAAATATATGATCTTGAATTCTTTTACCAGTACTAATAAGTACTCTCAAATATATGATCTTGAATTATTTTACCATTACTAAGAACTCTCAAATATATGATCTTGAATTCTTTTACCAGTACTAATAAGAACTCTCAAATATATATGATCTTGTATTATTTTACCAGTACTAATAAGAACTCTCAAATATATGATCTTGAATTCTTTTACCAGTACCAATAAGTACTCTCAAATATATGATCTTGTATTATTTTACCAGTACTAATAAGAACTCTCAAATATATGATCTTGAATTATTTTACCAGTACTAATAAGTACTCTCAAATATATGATCTTGAATTATTTTACCATTACTAAGAACTCTCAAATATATGATCTTGAATTCTTTTACCAGTACTAATAAGAACTCTCAAATATATGATCTTGAATTATTTTACCAGTACTAATAAGTACTCTCAAATATATGATCTTGAATTATTTTACCAGTACTAATAAGAACTCTCAAATATATGATCTTTTATTATTTTACCAGTACTAATAAGAACTCTCAAATATATGATCTTGAATTATTTTACCAGTACTAATAAGTACTCTCAAATATATGATCTTGAATTATTTTACCATTACTAAGAACTCTCAAATATATGATCTTGAATTCTTTTACCAGTACTAATAAGAACTCTCAAATATATGATCTTGAATTATTTTACCAGTACTAATAAGTACTCTCAAATATATGATCTTGAATTATTTTACCAGTACTAATAAGAACTCTCAAATATATGATCTTTTATTATTTTACCAGTACTAATAAGAACTCTCAAATATATGATCTTGAATTCTTTTACCAGTACTAATAAGTACTCTCAAATATATGATCTTGAATTATTTTACCATTACTAAGAACTCTCAAATATATGATCTTGAATTCTTTTACCAGTACTAATAAGAACTCTCAAATATATATGATCTTGTATTATTTTACCAGTACTAATAAGAACTCTCAAATATATGATCTTGAATTCTTTTACCAGTACTAATATGCACTGTCAAATATATGATCTTGAATTCTTTTACCAGTACTAATAAGTACTCTCAAATATATATGATCTTGTATTATTTTACCAGTACTAATAAGAACTCTCAAATATATGATCTTGAATTCTTTTACCAGTACTAATATGTACTGTCAAAAATATGATCTTGAATACTTTTACCAGTACTAATATGCACTGTCAAATGACTGGCATCTTCTTCAAATTGATCAAAGATGACTGTAAGAGGAAAACATTATGAATTTCTGTAAATAAAGACTTTAATTGAAACAATAATATACACACAGCATGTCAATGAGTTCAACAAATTATTATTATTACCATACAATAATGTATACATTGAGAACAAAGACAACCTCACCAATATGAGTCCACCTATTATAAACACTGTTCTACTACTTTTTGAACTACATGTACTAAGCTAATAAAAGGCCCTCCTAACAACAAAATATTCATTGTTACCATTAACCAAATAGTTAACCATCAGTCATCACTTCACAAAACAGACAGAACTATGAATATGGTATAAAAACAAATGGCTGTTCGGATTACAGAAATGTTCAAATATCCATTCCAAATTTACATGTTTCTCTTTTTATTTACTATGAAACAAGCATTTCAGCAAATTAGACAATATTATAACCCTAGCCTTTTTCTCAGTAAAAAAGTAAAATTAACTTTTGTTTTAATTAACTGACTAAGAAAGTTAAATAGTTTACCTGATTATGAAATTTGGTTCCTTAACCTATTTTTTTTCTTTTTCTAGTAAATTTAATAATTTTATAGTAAATTTAATAAATAGCTGTATGGTGCATTTATAAAACAATATACCTGTGTTTGACCACCGGAACAGATACAACGTCTAAAAGAACAAAATGAAGTTGAATATATTTCCCGTATTTCTCTTTCTGTATGCATGGAAACTTAAGTTTTGTTACGCACATACTTTATAGTTAACTAGTAAGATCTATAGCCTTTATGGTTATCATTTACCAAGTATCTGACTGTTAAAACATGTAACATCCTATGACAACAAACACATACTTTTACAATTACAAAATGTTCAATGTCCAGAGTCAAAAATGAAGTGAATATTTCATTATGAAAACTATAAAATGACACCGTAAAGCTCTAATATTTTGTTGATTTATAGTACATAACATATAAACCCCCCCAAACTACTGCTGTGCTTCTACAATAATAAAAAATTATTAAAATATGGATGAGATAAATTAAAATATCAAGAAAATGAAATCATGATTATGATTATGTACATTCCAAAACTGACATCCCTTCTTGTCTTTTTTTTACCCTACTTCCAAATAGAGACCATATAAATTCCATCTTTTTATTTCATGTTTAATTTCATAAAAGAAAAGATTTTCTCTCAAATTATATTTGATTCATCAGTTTTTTCCTAAATCACCACAAACAAAAATAACACAATACAATAATGATCCCAATGTGCTGTACAAACTTCCAACTTCAATACAAAAACAATTCTGTAATGAAGTTTATTATATACAAAATTAGAATTTACAATATAATAAAATAAAACTCTACTATATAACATATATAATGCTAACATTTTTCTAAACTTTAAAATCACAAAATACACTAACAATTTCACACCATATAACTTTAATAATTATTTCTTGCAAAGGTAAACATTAGCATATGATCATGTTACAATGTCCAAAAAGAAAATAAAAACTACATAAAATGTAGATTATCTTTACTCTAAAAATCAATTGAAATGTTACAAAAACAATAATATTGGTGTCAATTCTGGATGCTTCCAGGTGCTGTTTTGCCATAAACAATTCCAAACTAAAGTAAAAGTGGAATTTTCAACCTTTGTCACCTTCATCCTATCGACATCTAATCCCCACAAAGGTTATATGACAATGTCTGGTCACAACATAACAAAATGAAAGATATTGGCTTGAAGAGGATAAAGGTTAGATGTGTATCTATTTTTAGCCTCAGTGACCTTGACTCATATTTTTGTCCCTGTGATCTTGTCCCATTGATATTAAGAAATAGTAGAATGACAGATGAAAAGACAAACCATAGTATATACTATTAGCTTTTCTACTCAACACTGCAGGCGTTGTCTTTTGAATGAATTCAAATTTTCATGGATTTTTTTTTGTTACATAGTATCATCATTTCCCCCCACCCCACTAGAATATTAATTCATACTGATATACTGATACACGTATATTCAAAAACTTTAGAAAAATTATTATTTTGTAATGGAACAAAAAATATCCAAGTCATGAATTTTAACACAATCAGATAATATATTGTAAACATCAGATTTCCCAGAACAGCAACAGATAAACTCATTAAAAATTTGAGGCAAGAATCAATATTCTAATTTTATTGTCCAAAAATATTCTAGAATTTTAAAATATAATTACACATGGATATTCTTGGACTGTAAATGCTGACTGGGTGTAGCGATAACTTTGAAAATCACAAGCAATGACCTGCCACTTGTGACATTCAAAGCTTTCTGGAATGTCTGGTGTAACCTTAATAAGGTAGAGTTTATTGTCTACATACATATAATATGATAACATAATTTGTTTTGAAGTCTTGGCATATCATATGGCAATCACTGCTTTGTGTCTTCCTGTAGCAACAATTAATCTCTATAACAACAAGATTTCTCTATTTCTAACTTAAGAACAGAAGCACACTTAACTTGTAAAACATACAAGGCCATATTCTATAAAATAATGGCAGTAAGAAATTTAATGGTAAAACAATTACATGGATACTTTACATTCATACATATACATGTATATCTTGCAACTTAGTTGCATAAATATTGTTATATATCAAACATAATTTATTTCTACATATTAAACATTATCATCATCATTAAATATCAAAATTTCATTGGAACATCAAAATCTGTTACTTTCTCATGAAATTACTAAAATTTTCAAAAATAATTCATCTAGTTTATAATCAAAATCATTTTACGATAAATCAGAATTTCATATTATGGAGTATGATGTAACATGAATATCAAAAGGTTAGTATTCTATACAGGTTGAGCTACATTTCTTTGTTACACCTTAGTTAATTCTGACAATACTGTTTTGATATAAATATAACAACTGTAACTCTACATGAAAGTTTCTGTCTATCAGCACTACAGTATATATATTATCATATATTATGTGCACCCATGTCTATAATGTAGCCAAATATCACATGCTATAGTCTGCTTTCTCTGTAATCACTGTGACATGTATAAAGTTATACCCCTGGTTTCACTTTACTCTCCCCCTCTATGTCTAAAATATATCAATCACTCTCATCTTCCCTACAAAAATAAAACATTCTATAATAACACCTTACTTCACTGTTGTCATTAAATATGCTTTACTTTCTTATTGTTACAAAGTCTATGTTTATTGTGTAAGATAATCATAAATAAGTTTTTGTTATGTTATGTAACAACATTGTTATTACATGATTTTACAGCTGAAAAGGCTCATGACGGGAAATGAAATTTATTCTAGTCTTTTCAAAAATGTTATGTGGGGTTCGCCACCATGCTTTTAGGTAAACACAGCAATTCAGATAACTTCATCACAAGTCATGAGTGAGTACAGTGTGATTGGTAAGATTTGAACCTCTACAGGTTCAGTAAAGTCAGCAACCACCACCAATGAGCCCCCTTACCAAACACATTTCAAATATAAATAATTTTGACTTAGAAATGACAAAAGTCAAACAGAATATTGCTTCTCTTATGGCAAACCCCTTAACAGACAATTAAAATGTTTTCATGCAAGACTTAAAATGCATTATACCTATTTTTCACACCATTCTCCTTGTCTCCTTCAGCTACAGAGTTTTGTCTGTAATGAGAAAAAACAACTTCTTTTCATACAAATAATTTATAGATGAGAAAATGTTAAATTCTCAGTTTAGATTAACTGGAAGATTTGAAGTTGATTTTATTGGCTTAGATAAAGTGCATTTTAGAAATTAGCATTAAGATGTCTTTATATAAGTTCATAAAGCCTGATTTTCCTCCAGTGTTTATCAATTCATTTTCTCAAAACCCAAATCCTTAAAACATGTACCATACCAAGTACCATAACAAGAGCTGTCGGTAGGACAGCACGCTCGACTATTCTTAGTGCTTGATAGTAAAGGAGCCTTGATAATGTTAAATTTTTTAAGTTCACAAAAGGGCTAATTTTTTTTTATAAATTCATGTTATAGGCCTTAGAGAGAGTCTAATTATACAGTATTGGCTTGACTATTCGGAAGGTAATGTCACAAGGGTGTTTTATTGAGTATAATAATACTAATTACCTATGAATACATAAATTTGACAGAAAAGGTACAAAGGCTTGTAATTAAGATGTTTTATCAAGTAAATCACTGATTTATTATTATGAATGCATAAAAGTGTCCCAAAAAAGGCACAAACCCTTCAGTAGTTATTGAGATAACAGCTTACAAGCAAAACCCTACCATGAATTTCTAAGTTGAAAAAGGGGAGAAAAATCAGCCTAAATGCAAGATAGAATTATGGATCTTTGTCAGTGACCTACAATTATGACCCTAAATGCATATGTGAAGTTTTAAATAAATATCTTTAATAGTTATTGAGATATGTAAAACTTGCATGTAAACATTAACCAAGAGACTAAGTGGAAAAGGGGATATGAATCAGCCTTTATGCAAGATAGAGTTATGGAACTTGGTCAGTGACATACAATTATGACCCTCCAATTATGACCCTAAGTGCATGTGTAAAGTTTCCAGTAAATATCTTTGAAGACCTTTAACTTTTAACCAAAATTTCTAAGTTTTAAAGGGGCAAATAATTCTGCAAATATTGCAGGCAGAGTTATGCAATTTCGCAAACTGGTGTACATTGTTACTATAAATAAGTATTGTAAGTTTCAATTGAATATCTCAAGCAATAATTGAGATATTTGACTTTACAAAAAAACTTTAACCAAAATTTCTAAGTTCCAAAGGGGCATAATTCTGTCAATATTGTAGGCAGAGTTATCCAACTTGTCAATCTGATGTACCTTGTTACTATAAATAAGTATTGTAAGTTTCAATTGAATATCTCAAGCAATAATTGAGATATTTGACTTTACAAAAAACTTTAACCAAAATTTCTAAGTTAAAAAGGGGCATAATTCTGTCAATATTGTAGGCAGAGTTATCCAACTTGTCAAGCTGATGTACCTTGTCACTATAAATAAGTATTGTAAGTTTCAATTGAATATCTCTAGCAATAATTGAGATATTTGACTTTACAAAAAACTTTAACCAAAATTTCTAAGTTAAAAAGGGGCATAATTCTGTCAATATTGTAGGCAGAGTTATCCAACTTGTCAATCTGATGTACCTTGTCACTATAAATAAGTATTGTAAGTTTCAATTGAATATCTCTAGCAATAATTGAGATATTTGACTTTACAAAAAACTTTAACCAACGCAGACGCCGACGCGGACGCTGACGCCGACGCCGGGGCGACTACAATAGCTCTCATATTCTTCGAATAGTCGAGCTAAAAATCACAACACAAATATCATCTGACCTAACAGTCAAAACTGAGACATTTATGACTGGCACCAGATCAACTCAACAAAAAAAACAAACAAACTCACCTTTCATCTTCCGACTTGGTTTCACTTGGTGACCGTCTATCTCTGCAAGAAATATTCAGATAAAATCTTGAAAGGCATATTTCATTGTTGAATTCTGCTTAAGCCTGAACTAGGTATTTACAGTAGCAAGAATATGAATTCCAACTTTCACTTTTCTGTGTATATAGTTTGAATAATATTCAAAATAGAACAAATTTATTTTTTATGAATGGTATGTAATTAAGTAATTAAAGTCTTAATGATAATTTAAAGTTGTAACATAATTACTGTATACATGTCACAAAACAAAAAATATAATATATAATATCACGTTTGTTTGGGAGGGTAATACATGTAAATGTAATGACAGTATAAATACAAATTTTACCTTTTTATATCAGTATCTTCAGACTCTGATTTCTTCCTAGAAAGGTAATATTCATGGTTAAAAAATATGTTATTTTAAAATAAAATATTTCTGAAAGCAGTTTCATTCTCACAGTAAAGAAAAATTCATGTGCCATACAAATACAGAAGTCCAGGCCTAACTGGATAGAACATTGAGTAAGCATAAAACTGGATTCATATTCTCCACAGGAATGTTTACATTCTTGAGAAAGGTGCAAGTAGACTCAATACTTTGACAAAGGATAAAGCAATAATAGTTTATATTCTCTGTAACACTCAGATTCTCAAAATTAACTGTAAAAATAAAGTAATACCTTTCAGATGATCTATCACGACTTTGACTCTTTGATTTTTCCCTAAAATACGAATAAGTATTTATGTTTACATAGATACCACCATAATACACACAAGATTATTTACTATATGATTTTAATTTTCCTAGCATGGCATTAACATCAGGTATATATTGTCAAAATATGAAGATGTGACCTCGCCTAGCTGGTGCTTATGGGCATGAGAGATGCTGCACTGTCCTATTATCTCTCATGAACAGACTCAAACAGACTGCAATTTTCACTTATCAACTTTCATTATTCTTGAGGTTCTCCCCTTTTTCGAGATTTTTTTTCCACATGCAATTATACTATTACTAACAAGTTACAACTTATCAGTGTTTCTATGATAAATATCAATATATATATTTTATTACTGTTGTTAACATTAGAACAGAATCATAAATTTTGTCAGTATAACTGAATTAATTGCCTTGAATTTTAGCAGTGAATATACCTGGTTGCGTCTCCATTCTCTGGTTTAGGACTGGGTGATTTACTTTTCTTGTCAGCAGAACCAGACCTGCGTGAATCTCTTCTTTTACGTGAGCCAGATCTGTAGGAGAAAACAATTGCATTTTTCATGGTGAAATTACTTTTTTTTACCAAGGGCTGTTTTCAAAACATATAAGTCCGTTATAATAAATGGTAGAGAGATGCAAGCACAGCAAAATGCTTGTCTGAGGCCGAAGGTCGGACCTCGCATTTTAATCTGACCAACATGTTTTATGCAATATGGCATTTTCTAGCTTTACTGGTCAAACAAATCAATGTGTCAATCATTGTGGACATACATAACACCTGGTTTGATCCATAGCAAAAAAAAAAACTATCTTTCTTTCATGAAAGTATCCAATATTCCCTGTGTGATTTTAACCCCTAGCCGTGTGGGATATGTTTGCTTGGTTTAACGGCACATCATCACAACTTCGGTCATATGTGCTGAACAGGAAAGATAAGTTTGGCTAACCTTGGGTGTTACAAACTATATAAAGCTGTTTTCACCTCTTACAATCACGCAGGGATTCAAATGTTTGATTAGATTATTCCTCTGGTTAAGTGAAATTCCATATTAAATAATAAAAAATAAAATCTTTAAAATATATAATATGTGTATGTATAACTATTGCAATTGTAATGAAGCAAAGTTATAAAACAGCTTGTGTTAAGCAAAATATTTCAGGGATTAACAAGTTTTCATGAGGAAAATACAAAACAAAGAGTGGCACTAATGAAAGCTCTATTATGCCATGGGTTTACTGCTATTATTCATGGCACATTTGAAATAGATTACATATATTTGGCCATTATGATAATTTCTTGATTAGTCAATTAGTGCAATTGCAATCTGTCCTTTGAATCAGAATAAATATTTTATAATGCTTACATTAATACATGTATTATTAAAATTTGTATAATGCCCTACTTATTGTGTCAGAATGGAATGTATATGACTGTTAAGCTCATTCCCCTTAGATGCAATGTAAATGTTACAATATCAATAATGATGTGTATATATACATGATGGTAAAGTTGACATTAAAGGCAGTTTTCAAAATCAATACATAATTTATATACAGCCTGTTACCTCAAATCAATTATTCATGATTTCAATACAACCAGCTGAAACTATACTGCTGAGACAAGGCATTTCAAACTGTCAATATACATATAAGGAAACTGTCAATATTTTATAAGCAAAAAAAACTCAACTTCACATTAACTTAGAATATCCCCAGTACTATCTCCAGTAGAAATATATATTTAGATGTTATCACAGCTTACACTGAATGATAAGGAACAATTGCCTGACAATGAATGATATGGAATTATTGCATTTCTTACAACAATAAAATACAATATTATTGCTTAAACTGTAAATAATTTTTCAGCAAAATTATTCTATAAATACAATGAACTAGGACATTTTGTCAGATACATAAATATGCTATTTTGCAACACTGAAATTTAATTGGCTAATACTGTCACTGACCTTAAATGCAGATGTCTCTGGACATAGCTTTTTACCTGTACTACATTACTAGGCCACTTAGATCATAAGTCATCTTTGTAGTGTTCAACAAAACTGCAGCTTATCAGATGTTATGATTTTTTTTTAAAGTTGATTAAAACATTTCATTGTTTCAGCAATGTGGTAATTTCAAACTGATTAATTTCAAAGGTATTCTATAATGTGGGCATTTCAATCTTATTCTTTAATGTGGACATTTCAAGTAGATTCTACAATATGGTAATTTCAACCTCTGGGATAAGTTAGAGGATATGACACATGAAGGTCAATTGCAGCTTAGAGCCACAATGCTTCTATCCTAATAACCACCTTCTATGTATCTTAAGTAAAGGCATCATAGTGTTAAATCAAACTGCACTACAAAATGAAGGGTGATTCTGTTGAATGGCAATTTTAACTTCATTTAACCAACATAATATCTTAATCTATAAAAGACTAATATCTTAAGATGATATCTAACTGTCTTAAGATGATATCAAAGTGTAATAACTGAAGAAGATATCAAAGTGTAATGTCTAAGATGATATCAAAGTGTAATGTCTAAAGATGATATCAAAGTGTAATGTCTTAAGATGATATCAAAGTGTAATGTCTAAAGATGATATCAAAGTGTAATGTCTTAAGATGATATCAAACTGTAATGTTTTAAAATGATATCAAACAGTTATGACTTGAGATGATATCAAACTGTAATGACTTAAGATGACATCAAACTGTAATATCTTAAGATGATATCTTTTTTGTTTCTTTTGGGTTTTACGTCACACCGACACAGTAATTGTCATTTGGCGACGTTCCAGCTTTACTGGTGGAGGAAGACCTCAGGTGCCCTTCTGTGCATTATTTCAGGCACGAATGGGCACCTGAGTAGAACCACCGACGTTCCGTAAGCTAGCTGGATAGCTTCCTCACATGAAAAAATCCAAAGTCCTTGTCGGGATTCGAACCCACAGCGGTTAGGGGCAAGTGGTTTGAAGTCAACAAACTTAACCACTCGGTCACGGACGCCCCAATATGATATCAAACTGTAATATCTTAAGATGATATCAAACTGTAATATCTTAAGATGATATCAAACTGTAATGTTTTCAGATGATATTAAACAATTATGTCAAACTGTTGTGACTTAAGATGATATCAAACTGTAATAATTTATGGTGATTTATACCTCGATCTTGATTTACTTCTCCTTGACCTCCTGAAAGGAAAACAGAAAAATGCTTAAAAGTTTCAAAAAATATGTATAATAGTGCTATTTTACTTTTCATTTTTGATTCATCTCAAAAAATTCTGTCATTTTGAATTTTAGCTACCATTCATTGGATAGCTTAAATATACAAATGAGCCGCGTCACGACAAAACCAACATAGTGCTTTGCGACCAGCATGGATCCAGACCAGCCTGTGCATCCTCGCAGTCAGTGTGATCAGGATCCATGTTATTCGCTTACCAAAACCCATAACCAGTAGAGAAACTGATAGTGAACAGCATGGATCCTGATCAGACTGCGCGGATGCGCACGCTGGTCTGGATCCATGCTGGTCGCAAACACACTATGTTGGTTTTGTTGTGACGCGGCTCAAATGTACCTTGTTTGGACTGACACATAGAAAACAATTAAGTAAAAAGAAAACGGGCAAGAAAGCGCATTGTCATAATTACTAAGACACTTCAATTCACATGTGTGGACCAATGCCTTAGGGTGGGGGTGAGGTTACGATGTCATACCTCCTGACATTTAACTTGCATGTCCTTATCATAAAATATGACATCAAAGTCTGGATATTAACTTACATTTTCTAATGTGAAAATCAGGCAAAAATTTAAATCATGACATTCCCTCCCTCAGAAAACTAGAAAAATGCCAAAACCCCTCTGGATTATGCATTACTTGTTTTGTGAACCGTTCTGGTACTTAACCTTAATCAGAATTGACCAATGGATATCAGTATCATTTGAAATGTTGAGACATAATCAAGGTTTAATTGATCTACAAATTCATGTGTTCAGCAGTAAGTACTGCTAGCAGAACAAAGCTTCACTATGTATGTACAAGTACTTACTTTGACTTCCTTGACCTGGAATGTGATCTTGATCTCTTATGCTCTCTTGACCTTGATCTTCGATCCTTTGACCTTGATACAACAAAAAAGATTTTTTAGTTTTTGAGGTTTTACATTCAGTTTAACATGAATACTATTGCAAGTTGAAAACAAATAAAATCTAAAGAACAGAAATCAGCTAAAGTAATATGGGAGCCCCTCCCCTTTAGGATCAAATTATAATAAAAACTTAATAAACATATATGGATATTTTCTTTTTAAAAATAAAAACCAAGAATGTCAAACATAAAGTGGCATAAAATAAAGAAATAAAAAAAACAAAACATGAAATAAACACCTTGATGTTCGACAATCACGTGACCGCGACCTTGACCTATGTCTATCACGTGACCTTGACCTGCAAATACACATACCTGATAAAAAAACGATTTACAAATAAGATGAGAAATCAACATAACTATTTCAACATAAAAATATCAAAGTAAAAATTGAAAAAAAAAATTTTAAATCATTATTTCATTTTTTTTCCCATCAATAATATAACTAGAATAATATTTCAACAGTTTGAGAATAAATTGTCCATATATGTATATAATCAAAGTCTAGTTTTTTATTTTTCATGCAGTTACACCAAACCACTTATAACAATATCATGCATTCAGTATTGTAACTTTTCAAATCTTATGTTCTGTTTTAATCAAATATAAAGAAAAAGGATTTTCCAAGTTTGAAAAATATTTGAAGCAAGATGTTGCTTGTTTGATCTATTCATTTTACAAAGTGATTAAATTCTGTTACCATATTTTTTCCTTCAACATTTGTTCAGAATTGAGAGTATCTTTTGTTTCATTTTTCAATAGGCTTGCATCACAAGAGCAGATTTGTACCATCCATTACTTTTTTTTAACACTCAACAATTAATTAACAAAACTTTTTCTTCGATTTTACCGCTAAGCAAATTAGTTTGGAAAGACATTGGAAAGGAGACTTTAGTAACTATAGGGGATTTAGCTGCAAGATTTTTCATGTTTCGAAATTAATGTTTTTTTTAAACAGCATTCTGGCCGTGATCTCAACTACCAAGAAAGCCCCACCCACTACCTAACACTGATGCCTATATGGGACAGTAGAGACACAGCTCAATATTATATCTAAGTCAAAAGCGAGAAAATAAACTAAGGACAAGCTGAATGAACGTCTAGTCAAGAAAAAGAAAGTCCTACACTTATTGTATAAGTCTTTAAATATGATGAGAAAATGAACAGTGATTGGTTATAACAATAATGGGTATTCATATAAAAAAATAAAACATTGAATTTTAGAAATGCTTTTCATGTTTTGTTGTTAAATAATTTAGTTAGCATACAAAATATGCAAAACTTAGTTCAGGCAGTAGAATAATTTTTGTAATAATTAAACTACAATCAAAATTTTGAAAATGTTGAAGTAGTAAAATAAAACGTCTGAATTTTTAAGTACACATAAATGTAAATAATAAGATGTAAGTCTTATATGTATAAAACATTTATGCAGAAACTGGCAAGTTGTATTTTTAAATGATACCCATTATTAAGGTGATGATGCAAGAAAATCAACAGAAAACAATAATGAAATTTCATAAAACGAAAGAACTGAACAGATGAGTGAATGAAACAAATTAGCAACTATAGATATATAAGTAACAAAATGTTAGTGGCATGCATCATTTATAAAGAAATGGGCATGTTACGCAAGATATGGGGGATATTGTAAAAGTTTACAGAAAAATCAAAGTACAGAATGATTTTGATCTCATTGAAATAACTCAGCAACCAGAAATATTTTCAGAAGTAGCGGGAAGGTTTTGCGTGTTGGCAGCTTATCATAATACTTCTTGTTCTGTAAAAACTGTCACATGATTATTTTTCTTGTGAAATTTTGGTAAAAAGTTTCATGCTCTTTTATTTTCGTTAATTTTTTCATAGCCTTTTTTTGATACTTGCTTGTAACTATAGCAAGGCAATTTGAGGAAGGACATATCTTACATAAATTGTATTGAATCATTGAATATATTACAAAAAGTTTAATTATGTTCTTTGTTAAATCGCTCACTATTTCTTGTTCACTAAAACTCTTGCTGCTGAACAGGTACCAGTTTGAATTGTTGTTATCTTTACATATTCACCATCAATGCACTATATTTAGCTAGCATACAGACAGACAGACAGGTCCTGCAGGAGGGTCTGATTTACATACAGGTGGCACACTGGCAAGTTGTTCCATTATAATTATACTACTGTTTAACATACCAATAATGTTAACCTACTGAAATATGACATATTTATCATTATGTCATTTAAGTTTCAATTGAGTAACTTGTATTTATACAAAGTGAGATAACCAGTTTTTATCTTATCTTATCTCAACCAAATACAGTAATATCATTAGTAAGATTGAAATTTTACCCTAGATAGGGAAATAAATAGGAAGTTTAAAAGTCCCAACTTTTAGACTTTAGACACATTTTATAAAATATTTTGATACACTACAATGGCTACATAAATGGTTTCAATTATGTAACTATATTCCTTTCCTTTATATCAAACAAAAATTTGTTAATTTTATTTTGTATGTGCAGTTATGAAACTCTAAAAAATGTTAACATTTGGCTTTTTATTCAGAACAAGTTAGTATTTACAAATATCATTGAAATATGAAAGGCAAACTTCCAATAGATAAATGTTAATGCTTCATTTCAAATAAAACTTGAAAAGCATATTTTTGAGTGTACAAAAGATAGATATGCCCTTCACACAGTAACATTTATTTCATGGGCAATGATTTTTGTAGTTTTTAGAATGCATCACAGTTTTTTGACTGTTCAAAAACACTTCTTCTGCTAAAGGAAATTCTTTTCCTTAATCTTGGATAAGAAAAACATTATAACATTCAATTAGCTTAAATCAAACATTTTTTTTCTTCAGAATTATGTATGACTGTGTGTTTGTTTATTTCTTTTATTTTGTGAACGGACAAAAATACACTTTTAAAATATCTTTATAAATATAAGAAATCATGTAACAATATTTTACAAATCTTTTTTTTAATTTCAAGTTGAAGTAATTATATGATAAGCAGCCTGTAGGTTTGGGAGCATGCACATTTCTCATCATCATTTCTACTTTTTTAAGCAAGAACTGCTGAAGCAATTAAATATGTCCTAATATTTCAGTCCAGATTTCCAAATATCATATTCCAAGATTCAATATTAGGAGAGGTTCAAATGGATGGAAAAAAAGTTCAGTGCTATGAATGAATCATTTTGTACTTGATTTTTACCTTATTTTCATGTAAAAATCAAGCTTCTAAGTAGAAATGATGATTACAACAATAAAAGCAAAGAAATTTGAAACATGGAACCTGCTTGGAATACCTGGTTTTTGTTCAACCAAAAAAGCGACAGTATTGAATCAGACTGTGCACCAACAAGTATGAGTTTGATAGAGGTTGACCATGACACTGTGACCTTGGTGGTCAAAGTCACAAGTGTTTTATTCCCAAGGAGGAGGTAGTGGGAACCAAGCAGACAAAAGTAGGTCGTCCACGAGCGTACTGTCCCGAATGTCGCATGTTTGTTTGAGTGAATGATAGTGGGCGTGAAGTATGGCCGTCTGGCGACCATGAGGCTATCGCAGTTCTTACGAGTATCGATTGTTGCTAGTTTGAGTAGCTAGATGCACCGCAGTGGGTTTGTCTGTCTAATTGTGTTCAAATTTGTATGTTTGTTTTCTTGTGTGGTAGAGCCTGAATAGAGGGTGGGTATACACATATCAATTAACAGCCATTGAAAGTATCTATAAAAATATTCAGAAAAAAAGTCAAATCAACAATATCTAAGAATTTTCATAAAATTTAAAAGTCACTACATTAAAAGGAAAAAAGTTAACATCAAAACACTCATTGTTTGGTTTAATTATTCTTTTATTTCGAAATACAAATGAATAATGTTGTTTTGATGTTCCTACTTTATTTTCTGGCAGCAAAGAGACAAGAGAGCTACATAGAACATCAACATAGCAAAAAAGTTTAAACTTTGCCAGGTATGTACACCACAGACAACAACTTTACCGTTTTTCGAAAACAAACTGTCCTTTACTACAATGTATTGAATTTTACAATGTTTACAGCATTTCCAGCTAAAAGCATATCAGTTATTATATTGGCGTTATCTTGTATTACTTCAAATCTGTCCGACCTATTTCAGGTTTACATACACCATTTGTTTAGAGATAAAGATATTATAAATAAAATTTGTCAGAAAGACTTAAGTTACATTGTTTAACAGTTACATTTAAGCCCTTTCTAATTTCAGGAAGATTAAAAATGTTAATACAAGCATTGGTTAAATATACAAAAAAGTTAAATGCTATAATTATTCTTCCTGGATGGTTTATATTCCTCATATATCAAATTTGATATGCGCACAAGTTTAATTATTATTTAAATAGGAACAAACCAATTGTGTTGTTTTTTTGCATATGTACAAACACTTAAAACATTCCCAAGTAAAAACTCTTTGCAAACTTTTAAAATTACATAAAATACATGTATAGTATTTTTTAAGAGGGTTTCACTTGAAAAACTTAAGATCTAACAGATAAAAGAATAACAACCCTATAAAGGAAGTTTAATTCCTAAAGCCGCAAAATAGTGAGATGACAGATAAAAGATAATTTTGCACGTGAAATTATGCTCAAGTTTGAGGAAACTATCAATATCAGTTTTAAAAGCTTTTTTCCTTTCGTGTCACAGAAACTCCCAAACCATATTTTTTTAATTCATTGTTGACTTTAAAAGATCATCCACAAGATGTTTGAAATTGTACAAGTACAACATACTACTTCTTCCCATAGCTATAGTAAAGTTCATGGATGACAAAATCGTATCATAATTTTCTCTTATCTTTCTTTTTTTGCCATTGACTGATCATAGGTATTCTGCTTTCCAAGTATTTTCTTTGCAATTCTACTATAATGAAAGAGCATTTAAAGAATTTCAAAGAAAAGAAACACTGCTTATATCATTGTTGGGTCACAGACCCAAACTAAAGAATATTTATGACCATATATAAACATATACCTTTTGGTATGAAATAAAGTAGGACCTCACCTGGAATATCTTCGTCTGTATGAACCCCTACGCTCCTCCATCTGTAACCTACGACGTTCCTCGAATGGGCGAGCATGTTCCACTCTAATTCTTCTACCGCAAACATGTCTGAGTACAAACATAAGATTAACATTAACTATACTGTATAATTTATACATTATTCAACTGTTTTGGACCTGGTCTACAATCATGTACCCCTGCTCTTGAATGCTCTGCTGAAAAGTTAATTCCCTGTGCCAGTGAAAACCACCATGTTCAAATAATTAAAAAAAATAATCAGGAAGTCAACTTATCGTACTAAAATATTCCATAGCAAAAAATTAAGTTCTCCTCCATGTTTACTCATATGACACCAGAACTGGTTGAGTCCAAGAAGAAAAAGACTAAAGAAGTACAGAACCAAAAGCTCCTCGCCTTCACCAAAATCAAGCTAAAGAAAAATATAATTGTTTATCTATTTTTGTTTAGCTTGTGGATTTTAAGTCTGACTGACACTGTAAAAGCAACTTTCTTCCTTTGCTGGTAAAGGAAGACCTTAGGTACTCCTACATACAAGCCAGCAACTAAGAAGAACCACAAAGTTACCATAGATTATCTGGATAGTTCCTGACATGAAAGAATCTGAAGTCCCTGACGAGATGCTTTACAGTGGAGGGGAATGGGATTTGAAGTACCGGTAAGTGATCTTAACCTATTCAGCTTCACAGACCATATGTTTAAAGAACTTATATGAAGCTTATTAACAATTAAGTAAGATTTCCTTATACAAAGTACATATAGTAAATAATATTTAAGAAAAGCTCTCAAACATGTTTACAGTGAATTTAAGTTTTTCTTTTATTCTCTCAGCAAAATATTGAAAAATATATTCAATTCTGTCATAACAATATAAAAATTCTTTGACATTTAAAAACAACAAAAACATCAAACAAGCAAACAAACAAAAAACATATTCTATGTTTTTATGTTTTGTATTACTAAAAATATAATACAAATGTACATAAAAACCACATGTAAACCTTGAACTAAAATTTCTGAAAGGAACTTTGCCAAAAAATGTTAAATCAGGACACTTAACCTCTAAATTATATCAATACACTACTAATATAGACACATATTTTGTAAACGCTGAATAGGCAAGGTTTAAGTGTGTCAGCTTTTTCAAAAACAAATCACGAATTCATAGAACTTCCTTGTTGACAAATATAAAGAAACTTCCTTTTTGTTAAGATTAGAAAAAAAAAATGTATGAAATCTGAAACATTCTAAAAACAGTAATAAAGCTGGGATATGATGGCATGCGAGGGAAAAAGTCAACTTGAATCTGTCAATAAAACAGCCATTAAAACTTTAATATCATACGCTTCAATGCCAGGATACATCTGATTATAGATTTGCCTACCTATTTTAATGTAACATTTTAAACCAATAGAAAACTAACACATATTGAAGTTGATTTATTACAATATACATGTACATATTGGAGATCAATAGTAAAATTTATAGAGCAGATGGCACAACAATTCATACTGAGTAAAGATGAGGTTTAACTTCCCATCAATCAATATTTATTTCTTTCATCTACCTCTATTATTCTAACTTTCTTAACCCTGCCATGATTACCATGAATAATGTAACACCTTTCCAGACAATAAAAAAAAAACCCTATTGTTTTTGTAATCCATTAACTTTTCCTACCATAACAATAAAACAACCTCTAACCTAGTTTTATTATAATATGTAAACTGAAGCACAATTTTTGTTAGTTTAATAGTACATTATTTTCCTTACCCATTTAAATTTAAAACATGATATTGTCTGCTTTGAATTTAAAACAGTTATCACAGTAATTTAACCCTGCACATGCAGAAACTATGAGTGACTAGCTTTTGCTTTGTATACAGTGAGGTCAGCCTGCACATCTGACCAGGCTACACTGATGGCTAATAACTTCAAACATTCATCTTCATATACCCAAAATTGATAACAATCATGGTCATTACCAAAATTGAAGCCTTGACAAGCCTATTTAAGAAATACTGCCCATTTAGCGTTTTCAGTATCAAAATAATAAAATTGTGTTGCCAACAGTATAGAAACTTGTAAGATGGCACTGATGATTAGGCTGATAGATATTTTACAACAAAGATCTGTTATTATTGCCGCTAGCGGAAGGGGAAGGTTAAATATCAGAGATATCAATTTGCATGAATTTATGGCATATAATATGAGATGTCAATTAATAGAAGATGATAAGAAGTTTTATGGATCATAAACCAAAGACATCACTTACTAAAAAGCTATTAAAATTCTAATACTCGAGCAGAATATGAGATTTGTTTAGATAAAAATACAAAGTTCAGTTTTATTTGATATGGAATAAATGAATTTGTATTATCAATGATTGTTTGCAGTTCATTCTGCAGATATATAATACTACAGTATAAGACTTTAAGTAGAGAGGCAGAAATAAATTAAATCTATGCTTTGCAACAATGTCATAATTGCAAAATAAAATGATATAATAACAGTTTTAGTGCATATTTATTACTTTTGTTTGCATGTTTTCCAGGTGTAATCTACAGATCTCCTGAATTATTGCTGTAATAATTATGAACATTATATGCTATATATTGTGAAGGAAGTGCTTCTTCACACTAACTAGCAGTGGTGTCTAACTTTTATGAGGAAACATGGTCTTGACTATTAGGATATTAGGACTTGAACCAACAATCCCTGGGTTAAGAGGCAGACACCTTAACCAGTAGGCCACTGCTCAACTTTGTATACTGTGCTTAGAAATATATCAATATCAATTAACTTTCTTTCTCTCGTGTTTCTTTTTGGTTGTTTTTTAATACAACTAAATGTTTGTATCAAAATCATTACAATCTGACTGTAACTGTAAGAAAGGTTAAACAAAATCATTAAATGTCTTTGAAACTTGACAATGAGAATACTGTTTTATGATCAAATTACACCTGAAAGTATGATAGTGTCTTTCCATATCCATGTATTGAGTTTCTTTTAAATGATTAAACATAATAATATACCACCAATATACCAGTACATAGGTGTAACATATCATATGATTGGTACAGGGGTTTGAAACACAAGTTTAATGAATTATCTCTGATAATGCAGCAGAGTTATATTTTAGGACAAGTTGTCAACTCTTTTAATGCAAGTATTGACAATGATTTGTCTATGCCACCAGTATCTGCAAACCCATGAAGTCTTACTAGGCTGTATAATCACTGAACCCCTTTCCTTACTTAACCCCTTTCCTAATTGAACTCCTTTCCTTGCTGAACCCATTTCCTTACTGAACCCCTTTCCTTATTGTACTACAATTTTTAAAAGTTTAGATTTTTGTGCAATATCTACCTAGCATCATACAACAAAGCAAATTTCAAAGGCCATATTTTATATGTATTACACTAAATTAAAAGAGGAAACAATTTCAAAATAATTTCTGAGAAGATTATTACTAATTAATACATTAACAAACTAATATTACAGACAAATGAACATTAAATTCTCATTTTATATCTAATACAATATTCTTTTATAACCTTGATCAATAATTTGAATTGCTTCACACAAAGACAAGTTATTTTCTATCTAATAATTTTGCTGTGTCACATAAATATTTATTGAAAACTTAACCTGCTGGAACCACAAGATATTAGCCTTTGGCACCAGTGAAGAGCCAGACCTGTCTGATTATCTGTGCAGTCTTACCAGGCCCTATACTGTTGGTAGCTGTAACTGCTACTAACAGAAGCTCAATTTTGTATTTTGATATTGAAATGCTTTGAACAATGAACAGACTGTTCCAAATTCAAAGCTGAGCAAATCATATTCAGAAGTTTAATTGTAAAAGCTTATTTCATTCATTTCATGTGAACATTAACAAAGGTACAGTATAGTTCTCTCCTTTAGTTGCATTGTTACTGTCATATACTTCAAAGAAAATTTGACAGACAAAACAAATAAATGTGCATGTTATGTTAAACAACTGTTTTTACATAAAACATTTGATTTAATTATGGTAAATGGTAATGCAAAGATTCTTTATCAGAACTTTGTCGGTTTTTTAAGTGACATCATTCTTTACTCTTTAATATTATTACAATTATTAGAGCTCTAGAAACACAGTTCCCTAACCCTTAACATGCTGACTTCCTTAAATGGACTTGTCCAGCTTTCATTTTTGGAACTGTTCATTATCAAATTTGGGGATATCAAGATGAAAATTTGAAATTAGCCTGGACAGACTGTATGGCTAAGCAGACGGACCTGGCACTATACCGGTGGCAATGGCTTGTCACTTTCCCTTGGAGCAGGTTAATGGCTTATCTTATGCAATGTAAAAACTACAAAGATGTATCATTCCTTAACGAGCAATAAGTGCCATCAACTTTAAAACATATAAAGAGGGTAGAACTAAAACCTAAAATCTTTTAGTTGGAAAGGACATGTTATATCTTAACACTTTGCAACATTTCAATTTAAAACTTGAAATAAAATTATATCAAAACATGCATACATGTTATAAAATAACTATTTCAGGTGTTAAGACACCAAATTTTACCAAATACATAAGAAATTATTTGAGGCCAGCCTTAAAAATATTATTTTGTTTCCCCTCCCTAAAACCATGCCAGTTAATGGTAAGGTTAGTTGGAAAATCTAAGAAGTAAGTTGGGTTTCAATAAAGAACATGACATTGTATGTACATGATAAATCACTGTTTTCAACATATGTTGAATGTTTAGTACCAAATATGTGATTCTCATTAACAGTTTCTGCTTCCATGATTAGTACCATAATTGGTCATGGTGATTTTTTGTGGGTAGGTCATGGAAGGGAAAACAAACACTATTAAATAATAGGCCTTTCAGTAATAGAAGTGATACAAGACAGCTTACCTTCCATGCAGCTTTTTTACAGCGCTTTCAGCATCTTCAGCATATTTGAATACCAGAAAAGCAAATCCTGGTGGATTCCTGAAAACCAGGTAAATAAATAAATCAATTAGAAATAATTCATTTACCTACACCTGCATTTCATGAAAAGTGCACATGATATACTGCAGGTGAATCATAAGTATGCTATATGTATGCAAATTATATACATGTCAGGAAAATCCTGGGTATGATATAAATATGTTTCATCAATCACAATGCAACATTTTGCACATATGTAGCTCAGCTTTTAATTTAATGCACATAAATGAAAATGAAATTTCATTTAAAGTTATCTCTTTCATCAATAGGGATTAGCCTATTGAAAGATTGATAGATTCCCGAGATAACTTTGTTTGAAAACACATCTATCCCATTGCTACATGTATAAGGTGTCTAAATTTTGTAAAACATCTAGTTTTAGTACTTTCCATACAAGAGCTGTCCGTAAGACAGCGCGCTCGACTTTTTTATTGCTTGCCAATAAAAAAAGTTTTTGCAGTAAAAGGCAATACAAGAATCTCTGTATTTTTAAAGTGAACAATGGCCATGAGCATTAAGATATTTAGTGAAGAATTATTTTACTGAATTGTGTGATACCCTTGAACACTGCAGCAAAGTTTGAAATGTTTAAGTCAAAAGAGGGCTGGTAAGAAAGAAAAAAAAAGTGGACTGGTACTAAAAACTTAACCAAGATTGTAAGTCGATAAAAGGCCTTAATTTTTAAAACAAATCCTTGACAGAGTTACCTTCTCTTGCGTACAGATGGGGGTAATGATGTGAAATAGCATTAAAAGTTTCAAAGCAATATCTCAAAGGGTTAAGGCAATAAGTGGATTTTACCCATATTCAATGTATTTTCTAAGTCAAAAAGGGGCATAATTCTGTCAAAAACCTTGACAGAGTTATGTCCTCTTGTCTGTTGATGAAGGTCGTGATGGTAAACAAGTATGGTCAGTTTCAAAGCAATACCTCCAATGGTTTTGAAATAAAGTGAGGTGGTACAAAAAACTTAACCAAGCTCAATACACTTTCTAAGTCAAAAAAGGGCCATAATTCTGTCAAAAACCTTGACAGAGTTATGTACTCTTGTCTGTAGATGGAGGTTATGATGGTGAACAAGTATGGTAAGTTTCAAAGCCATACTTGTAATACTTCTGAAATAAAGTGGGGTGGTACGAAAAACTTAACCAAGGTGTGACGCCAACGCCGACGCCGACGCCGGGGCGAGTAGGATAGCTCCCCTTTTCATAGAAAAGTCGAGCTAAAAATGTATTTATTTTCCATGTATGCTGCAATGTCATTAATCTGCTAGATATGTATATTCCCTGTTTTGAATTTGGAACAGTCCATACAAAGTTTTAGGGTTAACAATATCAATACATATGATGGTCAGGCTGTACAGACTCAGATCTGACTATATACTTGAGTTAAAGGTAGTAGCATAATGGTACAATTCAACCATTTTAATGATTAATGACTGAGCCTTACATATTTCATAGTCTGACTTTAACAAAACATTCTAAACCAATTAAACATTCACAGTTTACATCAGATATGAATTTTAAAATTACTCAAATGGGGGTATGGCTATAAGCCATAAAAAAATATATATAAGCAAATTTGAAAAATAAATGTACAGATTTTAACTAGCTCAAAAAGGTTTTTAATGGTTTGTACGATTAGTGTTTAAGTTTGGGATTATGAAAACTGAATTAATTTGATTTTAAAGGCATATGGTCTGTTGGAAAGGAGGACAAAAGCTTGATCCAAACCCCAAACGTCTCTGACTTTAATCATAGCTTATTCAATTAGTTATATTGTTTGTAACTGTTAAATGCTTTGATTTATAAATCATTATTATTTATATATGTACATTGGATGTCAGTCAAATTCTACAACCAATACTATTTTTCTTTTCTATTTTTCCTGTCAATTTCTGAAAAAAGTTATAATGCTTTCCTTCTGTTCATGGATAAAAATGTCATTTTTCCTCTGACAAGTGGATTTATCAAACTTTAGGAGGTTTTATTTATCTCAGAAAAGATTTACCTATCTTTGGGCAGTATTAAGAATAACTGAGTTTGTCAGATCAAGCACTGCCCTTTCAAAATGTATAATAGATAAGAAAGAAATCAGATGGAGAAAATGAATAAGTAATATCTGGTGTAAAACTGTACGGTTGTAACTTGTATCAAATAAACTGTTTAACTAGTGTGTAAATTGTATGCATAATTATAGTCTAATATAATATACATTACACTAATCATTCAAGCATACTTAAGTTATTGAATATTGACTCAAATTGGTAAAAGAAACCTGTTGCTTGTTTTCCATAGCACTATTTATTGATATATATGAATCAATGAACCACAGAAGGCTTTTTACTTTAATACCAATGGTAATTTGTATATTCATTATAATTAATCCAAAGACAAAAGTATACGACATGTATAGAATATCATGATTTTTTTTTCCAATCTAGAACAAAAATCCTAATTGAGTTGAAAAATTCTTTGACATTCTGGATATTCACATATCCAAATTAAATCAAGATGAAATGAGGAATTAAGATAATATATTACATGTATGTTCTGTATATTTTATGTGCACACAGCATTAAGACTGCATGGTTATGTAATGTAACAATTATTCTCTATAGTTCTGAGTTGAATGGTCAAGGCCACTATGATTTTGACCCTTTGACTGACTGACCTTAAGGATGTTTTCGGGAGTTTTCATATCGAGGGGTGAAAGCGAAAAGGTTCTAAGTGCATTTTCCAAAATTTTACAGGAGAAGCAAAATACTGTCTCAAATGTTTGTAAAATAGCAAAATTCCACAACACTTTGATTTTACACATAAAAATGTTAAAGAAACATGTCAATGATAATAAAAATTCTAGGAAAGACTTGGCAAACAAGATATTTAATCAAATGTAACTTAGAACTGTTTCGCACTTAAAATTTCTCATATTTTGATTTTTATGTTCAAAGCGAAAAGGTTCCAAGTGACATTTTGATAGAACAAAAGCATGTTTTTCTTTCTTATTTAATTTAAGATAGAGCAACATTTTGTCATTTCTAATTATTCAGTAAGAGATGGAGTATAAATTGCCAGATAGGACTGTTTCGCATTTACTTTTTATTTTGATTTCATATTTTAGGTGTGAGACATTCTCTTACTCCACTTTCAAGTTCATGAAATTTTAAGTTTGACTGTGTTTAAATTAGAAACATAAATAAAGGTCATAATTGATAGTGTACAAAACTTTTAAAGAACATGATGGACATTAATTACACCTGAAAAACAAATGCCAATTAATTTGATAAATCATTTTTAGCTGAACTATAAAAAGTATATGGAGAGCTGTCCTCCTTGCCTCGGCGTCCGCGTCCAGATTTCAGATTAAAGTTATGGTGCAGTAAAATACTTAAGGTATCAGCTTCAAACTTCAAATATTTGTTCTTTGGCATTCGTGGTCAATTCCTATGCATCAAAACTCCAAACCTGTGTTAAATAGCCAATAAACACCGCTAAGATCGATATTATTTCTTCATCATTACATGTTGTGTTACATGGTACATAACTCTAGCGCTACTACTTCAAGAATTATTCCCCCTTGAACTTTGAATTTATGTTAACAAATGTTATTTTTTTACTATAACTTCTTGTCATATGGATAAGAGTTATAAAATGCAAGCTCCTGTATTCCCAGAATTATCCCCATTTAATTTTTGAAATTCATTTGTAAATTGATTTTTTAGTATTATCTTTATTGTTATAAATGGTATCTGCTCTAGACTTAAGATAAATAATTGTTCTTTGTCATTAGACACATCATGCATGACAAGGTTCATAACTCTAGCTTCTTTTTTCAAGAGTTGTTTCCACTTTGAACTTATAATTTACTTTAAATTCTTTTTGCTTTTATCATTTTTGTTTTTGAAGGGATTGACTTCAGATTTCAAATTGCTGTCTTTCCATTAAAGTAACATTAATTTTATTGACAAGATCATTATGTTGTGCAAAACATAGAACATTTGACTGCTTTCTTGATACTGATACAAAAATATATCTATATCATAATTGATTTTTCTTTCATAGTTTCGTCTTCCTTACTGCATCCACTATTTGATGAGTCGAATTTCGCTCTCTCCTGTGACAGCTTTTGTTTTCTTGCATTTTCTGTCATATTCTTCAATATTCAAAATAAAACAGTTACATTAATATTCTTTCATAATCATATTTAAAATGGTTACCTTCAATACGTTATTTATTCATGGAAATTAATGTTATTTCATCCACAACTATTTTCTAACAATAGTTTATGCATTTATTTTTAAACAACTTAAATATTATAAGCGGCTTAATGAGGTCATCCTTAGCCCATAGTTCCATTCTAAAATGCGCCAAAATGACACTTTCTTTTTATGCTGTTCATAAATAAAATGCGCTCAAATGGCGCAACTTATCTGGCATCACCATGCTGTAGGGTTATTTAGGATATGAGTCTGATTCTAATTTAGATCGGGAAAATCCGATTCAGCCAGTGAATATGATTTTATAATTTGTTCTAATTACCACTGTTTGAACCAATGAGATTACAGCTATTTTTAAATCATATAATATTCTCTGAAAAACTTTTTGGACTTGTCTGAAACTTCATTCAAAGTGCAAGAATATCTTTGCAATAAACATTTTCACAAACAGTCCCAGAATATATTTGAACTGAAAATATATTTTACAAATTGTGCATTACAAATAACTTGCACATTTTTTTTTATTACATGAGTTCACACTTGAGACACCCCCATGTAGCAACAATACATAGAAGAGATGATATGTCTCAAGGCCAAGTCCCAAAGACCATCTTCATTAGCATAAGTGTGACCCATAACTATACTTTATTTTACATTGTTTATACATCAAAGGCACACATAGCTCCACCTACATTGACATTTTTCAATATCTCAGAGGCACACATAGCTCCACTTTCATTCACGTTACTTAATATTTCAGTGTCACACAAAGCACCAGCTATATTTACAAAACTCAGTTTCTTGGACTCACACATAGCTCCAAGTTCATTTGCAATGCCCAATATATCAAAGTCACAATATCTTGTAATTTTGTCTATAACCTTTCCTACCTTATCATACCCAGATTTCTGATTATCATCAAAAAATCGCTTTTAACCATTCTAAATATCTCACTATCACATGTAGTCTCACTTTCAAGAACATCACCTGATATCGTATTGTCATCTAAAGTTGTGGTCTCATTTACTCCTGGCAGAGCCCAGGACCACCCAGGTAAGTTACTAGGATGATCCGGGGTGAAATTTTTGTTGCGGTCACACTTACCCCGGCAGCACATCTGTAATTCCCAACGAACACCCAGGATGCCCCCGGACCATCCAGGCAGAGCCCAGGTGAAGCTCTGGATCATGCCGGTGCTTACCTGGTCATTCCTGGATGACGCCGGCAGAGCCCCAGTTGACCTAGGCAGAGCCCCAGTCGATCCAGGCAGAACCCAGGACGATTTTGACAGAGCCCCGGTAGAACCCCAGTGGATTGAAAACGTGCAAAAATGATGACGTTGATACATAATTTTCATTAATATAATTAATTCTAAATGATATTTTCTCCTATTTAATAAGTTATTCATGATGATTTTCTGAATAATCCTTATGCAAGACTGTACAGTAGGGAAATGGGGGAAGGGTTTTATTACAAACAAGTTCAATCATTGCAAATTGCCGTAATTCTTTTGAAATGAAATGGGCTTTGCCGGGGCTCTACATGGATCAACAGTAGCTCAATCGTCATCCTCCGGGGCTCTGCCGGCTTTCACAGGGTCTCTGCCGGCATTCACCGGGTCTCTACTGTAGCTCTACAGGCTATATCATACCCAAGATCATCCCTAGTTTGTGTCAGCAGAGCTACAGTGCTTCCCTGGCGTAACCCGGTCGTTCCCGGCAGGGCTAAGGGTGAAGCTGGTAAAGCTATACCTTCCCGGATCACCCTGGTGATATTAAATATTTTATTCCATCCAGGTTCGAATGCCGAATGTTCCGGATCATCCCGGAGGTTGCAGGCAGAGTTATCAATGTATCCCGGTTGTTCCTTGATCACCCCCGGACGTCTACCTGGGCTCTGTCAGGGTTTGAGACCACAGCTTAAAGCTAAAATTTTCTTCAATTATGTCCCTGGATTAATTACAACCAGCTAAAGCATCACTTTCAGTAACATTATCAGATTTATTACCGTCATCTATATATATAGCCCTACCTTTAATATCATCACACAATTTCTCACAGGCACTTAAAACCCTTTAAGATAGTGCATGATCATTACTGGCCATGTACACTTAGAACTGTTTCCCTTTTAAAAAATCGATAATTTCATGAGTGGAGTTAACTGCGAAACAGTTCTAAGTACTTAAGTTTTCTTCAAAAATCAAGACATCTACTCTGAAACTAATGAATTTCTTATGTGATATTATTTAATAATATACAATAAAAGGTTAAGCTTTCAAAATTGCTTTGATTTCACTTATTTTAATGCAGTTTGAGTTGTTTTTATTTAATCTTGTACATTTTATACTCAATGAAAGCGAAAAGGTTCTAACTGCCATTTGCAGTTAGAACCTTTTCGCTTTTTACAAAAAAGGTTAATTTCACTTAGAACCTTTGGACAATTTTTCATTTCACCCTTTTGTAAGTAAACTAAATCTTATATATTTTGACATAAGATGTATATGGGTGTTTATGTTATAAATATATAAAAAAGTGAATTTTGTAAAAAAAGTGAGTTAGAACCTTTTCGCTTTCACCCCTCGATATAGACATATAGGCAAAATTAAAACTGTTCTATAGAATTTCTTTAAACTTGGCATGTTATTAGAATATGATAACAGAAATATTAATACCCCCGCACAACAAAGTTGTAAGGGGGGTATACTGGAATCAGCTTGTCCGTCTGGATGTCCTTCTGTCTGGCCATCCCGTCGGTTTTTCTTTGACCGCCCAATAACTTAAGATACATGTACCTTTGACCCACAGTCTTCATATTTAGCATGGAGGTTAGTCATGACTAGTAAATGACCCCTATTGACTTTGAGGTCACTGGGTCAAAGCTCAAGGTCACAGGGGCCTTGACTAAAAAAAACTTGTCTGCTCAATAACTTAAGAAACTTTTGACCCAAGATTTTGAAAACTTTTTATTAAAATCAATAAGGCGCCGCGGTATTATTTAAAAAAAAGAATTGGTAGGTGACCTCTTGATGATCTTAAATAATACACATACCAAAGCTCTGGGCCTTATATTTTCAGACAAGAAGATTTCTGAAATTTGCATTTAATACTAAACCCCTTTTTTTGACCTGTGACTTACTCATGAAACCTTTCATAACTATTTCAACAAGGCAGTCTGAAGGACAGCTAAATCCCCTTCCGCAGTGAACATGAATGTGTACGTCTTGACCTTTTACCAGCCACGACCTTGATGTTATGCCATGAATAACATAAGCCTATAGTCTCATAATGGTGATTATTTGTGCCATGTTGTTTAAAATCTTCCATAAAGTAAAAAAAGTTATGGAGAACATATAACCTTGACCTTGGGGGTAGCAACCTGGATGTTGAACTCTGCAGATTGTTTCATGGTGGTGATCATTTGTAATTTTAAAACTTTAAATTTTCAAAAGAAAAAATTAATATAGATATGGTTGGGTGTTGTAATGTATATACATGTATAAAATCTTTCCAACTTAACTAGTGGAAGAAGACCTCAGATGCCCTTCTGTGCAATATTTCTGACAAAAATGGGCAAAATACAGAACAGGCCAGGTTGCATTTACCAAATATCATTAGGCTGTGATGTTACCAAAGATATTTACCATTGACCATTAATGTAGAAAATTTAACTTAGTCGAGAACAGGAAGTGGATGAGCAACAGACCTAAAATCAAATCCCACTGTGTGGGACCACATGTTAATGCTTTATGCCAAATATCAAGATGCTGCGATGAGTAGTTGCTGAGAAAACTGTTATGAAAATTTCCTACCATTCACCATTAATGTCGAAAATTTAACTAAGTCTGTAAACAGGAAGTGGATGAGCGACAGACCTGAAATCGAATCCCACCTTATGGGACCACATGTTTATGCTGCATGCCAAATATCATGGGGCTGTGATAAGTAGTTGCTGAGAAAACTGTTACGAAAATTTCCTACCATTCACCATTAATGTTGAAAATTTAACTAAGTTGGTAAACAGGAAGTGGATGAACGACAGACATGAAATCAAATCCCACTGTATGGGACCACGTGTTGATACTGTATACCAAATATCAAGAGGCTATGATAAGTAGTTGCTGAGAAAACTGTTTTAAAAATTTCCTACCATTCACCATTAATGTTGAAAATTTTACTAAGTCGGTAAACAGGAAGTGGATAAACGACAGACCTGAAATTTAGTCCCAAGGTATGGGTCCATGTGTTAATGCTGTATGCCAAATATCAAGAGGCTGCGATCTGTAGTTGCTGAGAAAACTGTTACGAAAATTTCCTACAATTGACCATTAATGTCAAAAAGTCGGTAAACAGGAAGTTGATGAAAAACAGACCTGTAATTCAATCCCACAGTATGGGACCACATGTTGATGCTGTATGCCAAATATCAAGAGGCTGTGATAAGTAGTTGCTAAGAAAACTGAACATTACGAAAATATTTTCCCTGATCACCTGCCCATCGCCTGACATTCACCATTTTTTAACCCAGATTTGCACATGATTGTGCAACCCGGCCAAAAATGGTACCTTAGTAGGCTTAGTAGCTTTCAGTAGCTTTTGCAAATGAAAGAATCTTAAAAGTCTGTAGCCGGATTCAAACTCACAGCGGTGAGGGGCCACTGGTTTAAAATCAAAAACTTTAACCACAGACTTGTACATGTCATATAAGCCAAGTATATCATAGTTCAAGAGTAATGTAACTTAGGGTTTGATATATGGTTTATTGTGTCCCCTCCATTAAAAAAAACTTTTGTTTTCAATTTGTGAGACATTGTGAAACCAAAAAAATTCAAATTAATTTGTCAAAATCTTTCTGACATTCACATATTTACTAAGGCTTGAAAGAGAATGAATAACAGGTATTGGAAAATTCAAATTAATTGTTAAGTGATGTTTTAAATGTCTAATCTTTATTATTTATTTTAATGTGGATTTGGTTCGAATATTTTAGTGGGCGAACCAATGAATAAAAACGATATGAATAAATTCGTACCTTGCCACCCATGTATCTGTAATTGGTCCATACTGTTTAAATTCTTTTTCAAGTTCGTATTTGCCAATTCTTGGCCCGAGATCCCCTATGAATACTCGATACCCTCCGCGAATTCTATCATACACCGCGATATCCATTGCTGAAACTGAAATGGAGAAATTAATGTTGCAAGCGACCGAGTTTAATTTGCTGTAAACATTCTAAAAGGGCCTACCTAAAATTGTTTGTAGAGAAGTAACTTTTGTCATAAAGCATATGAGAAAAAATCGTGTAATAAACTCATTTTGCTAGCTTATTATTGTATAAAAATGAATTGAAAATATAAACAATTACCGTTTGAAAGTGAAATTATTTCATTTAGATTACGTACAAAGCTCTTCATTACCTTTCTCAAGGGAAGTCACTCTCACATCAAGGACAGAAATCACATTTTTTTTTCAGGAAAAAATATTGTTTTGTAACCTACCAAATCATGACAGAGATAGGCCAGGGTGATAAATTTGAAGAGGATGAAGAGGTTTGAGTAACTTAAATACTTTTCACAATGATTCTATTTATTTATTCTGCGGAGTGCCAAATTTCATATGCAAATCCCGGGACAACCAATATTCAATCAGTTAAGCTGTTTTTAGCCAAGAATAAATGGAAGGGGAAATTATACTCTAAATTTATTTTAGCTATTAATGCATCTATTAACACTTATTCATTTTCAGGTTGGTACATTTTTAACAAGTCTTGATCTTTCTTAGAAATTCAATAAAAACAATATGACCCACTCGGGTTACTCCCAGAAATATTTTAACCTAAATTCAAACAGCAGGGTAATCACCATGGAAAATTTGTTAAAGATAAATCAGGGCCACTAAAAATTGTAGAAAATTTCACAATAGTCTATTCAACGGTTTTCAACAGTTTTTTCAAGATTTTAAAAAACTTACACTAAATGTTATAACATATGTACAGCACAATGCATTGGTATGACTGTCACTACTGTTAATGTGTATAAAAAGGCAGTTAAAGGTGTCACTTCTTAGTACGCTATTTGGGGTGCAAAATGATTAATGCATCCAATCTTTACAGCCATTTTACCTTTCCCACTTTACCGTAAGGTGTGCATCGCTATGGTGAAACCCATGTTGCTGTACATTACAAACTGCTTGATGCCTGCCCAGGTACAATATGGTGACGGAACTGATTTTGATATAAAGTAACAATTGAAAACTCGAGCTTCTTTTTTATTTTAGAAATTTTAAAGGTTGATAAACTATGAAAAGCTTAACAGTTGATTTTTTAAGAAATAAATGGGTGCAGCATTATTGAGGCAATTCTTTTAGTGCAGCGACTTAAAAGAAATTATTTTAGCTTCAGCATTAATTTCAAAAACATACATGTCTTAGCAATGGCTCGGTAGTGTATGTGACATACTGTGGCAATTCATAAAGGTTTTTGCACCTTTACAAAGGCTTGAAAATGTCAAAATATGTGTGTGCATGCAGAAATTCAAGACCCATTAGCTCTTAACAAATACTGCAGAATAATATTAAGCCCCCAGAAATGAGAACTTATACAGGGTATTTCTTTAGATTTGTTTTTTCCTTTAATGACAGAAGTCTCATAGTAGGGTCATATTTTGATGTTCATGTTAAGGAAATAGTGAATTTTAATGATATTGGACAGTTCAAGTATTCATAGAACTTTGAACTTGAAGTTATATTACATCTAGATTGGTGGTTCTACTCGGGTGCCCGTTCGTGCCTGAAATAATGCACAGAATGGCAACTGAGGTCTTCCTCCACCAGTAAAGCTGGAACGTCACGATATGACCTATACTGTGTCGATGTGACATAAAACCCGAAACAAACAAAACATCTAGATAGTGTTACAAGTTATAACTTCAAAGATGCATGATTCATGCTTTATTGCAACTTTTTATAAATCTGTTCTTTTAAATTCATTGTTCAGTTATTTTTTTTATGTTGATGAGGGTTGTAAAGTATATCATGACTAAATACAGCACAGGCGTTGCTATAACATGTAAATATGAAAAATAAAAATCACACCCTGGCCCAAATCAAAATAATATATAGTGATTGTTTTATTACATTGTGGTTTTTATACATTATATTTTCAGGAATTCATTGACGAGTCATTAAGTGAAAGGTTCTGGGCCCTTTCAGAAATGTTTCCAGATTCTGTCCGCAATGCTTGTTCAAAAGTATCAGACATTACATTAAAGTCAACAAAGATTGGGTATAGATTTTCAAGAAATGCATTTTGGATTCTTGCCTCAAGTTTTACCATACTGATTTTACCTGTGATGTTTGAAAAGGAAAGGGCAGCTATGGAAGAGCAACAGCGTCAGCAACAAACACAGGTATTATTGATATCCATGTAATTCTTTTACCGGATGTTGAAAGTTCAACTCAGGCACCAGGCACTTATGTCTGAAATTATGCATGAATGGTCTTCCTGCATCAGTTAAGCTGAAAAGACTCAACACATTTACGGTGTTGGCCCATTTCCCAAACCAGCTTTCAGGTTTTACCGTTTTTTTTGGTGTTTTTTTTTTTTTTTTTTAAATTAACTAGACTCGGACTAACAGATTAGCCATAGTGTGAAACATAAACTTTTGGCACTTCAATGTACTGTTTAGTGTTGGAAGTTTTGTTTATCATTTGGGGCTTTTATTGGTCACTGGGTCAAAATCTAGGGACAAATTATATATAAATTCATTATTGTAGTGTAGATCCTGTTCAGACTGAGAAGTGAGAAGTTGCAGACTAGTCTGGCTCTATACTTTAATTTTTGTTCAGTCTTGAATAGATGGCATTTACAGAGTCATCATCTTTGCAACCATCAAGTGAATTTACATTTACATATCTTAACATTGATTATTCCGATTTCAGAGCAAGTCAGATCAGTTGCATGAAGTTAATAAGGTAACTTAGGATAAGAAATTAAAAAGAGCATCTAAAACTATTGCACATTTTGTATTTTTCAGATTTTGTTAGGACCAAACACAGCTGTATCTGGATCAGCAGGACAGAGTGTTATGGGAATGATGCCTCCTGGCCTCACACCATCAGTTGCTTCATCTCCATAGTTACCATTTTATATCTATATTTAGAAAAATGTTCTTACAAAGAAGAAGACACATCATTTAATATTTTGAGATCTTTTATAATTTTTGAGTTATGCATGTTTTGATGTTAGCTCTTCATTTTCAAATTATTTATTTATAAGTAAACAATTGTACTTGTTTTAACCTACAGGATATATTTCACTATGTAAGAAAGTTCCTATGTTTTTAAGTAATTTATATTACATGTATGTAATTATTTAGGCATTATGGCAAGTCAGTAAAGAACATTTAAGATGGAATACAGTGACATTAACATACTAAAATACATGAACTTGAACTTGGTGTTGCAAGGTTCAGTGGAAACAGTGGCATAGTACAAAGTGTTGTTCGATGCCATTATACAGTAAGGCTAACAAACACTTAATATCTAAGAACTAGTTTATGTTAATGGCAACATATAGATATATCTGTTTGTGAACCACTTATGTTACTATGTTATTTGATATGTTTGGGTTTTATGTACAAGTGAAAATAAATAAAGAAAACAACAACCTCCGTGTTTCTGTTTTTTTCCTAAATTTATTTTGCAATAAAACAACTAGGTATGAAACAAAAAAATAAATAAACAAAATGCTTTATAAAGGTGCTGGGCTTATCATCTAGGTAATTTGAAATGCTTTACTCCTGGTTTGTGCAAAGTTATAAAATGGCAAGACTTACCCGGTAATAATATGATATAATACATGTATCGTATTAGAAATTTGAAAAAAAAAATGGCACAACATTGTCATTACTGAATAATGAAAATTAAAAAATTTATCCTATTTTCACAACATCCCATTATCACGTCTGTTAAATTTAACCAATGTAGCTAAAAATCGAAAACCAATAATATTTGATTTGCATTATGATGTCAACTGAATTAATATTTACTCCAGATAAGTAGATACAAGCAAATTTGGTGTGAAAACGTGCTCGTACAATTGTCTGGGTTTTTACGTTGACTTATACACATATCTGGTCATATCTCAAGGGTCTGTCCACCTAACCAGCATTCCTAGATAACTAACCAGTAATTGCCAATATCTCGACTACAAATCCAACATAACTTCTCAATCAAAGAGATAAATGACTAATTATTTAGAGTCTATGTCCAAGATCAACTTTAAATGTCACAGAGAAAGTTTGCAGCGTCTGGGGATCAAACCAGCGATTCATGGATTTCAAGCTCTCTCTTACTAGTTAAGTGGACAAACACTCAATAACATCTATATACTACAAGTATATAGCACCTAGGATAGGAAAAAATATTTCTTTCAAATGGTGTTTAACTTTGTACTCTGGTTTACAAATAAATATTTTAAATTGTAAAATCCTGTTTAACACAATAGCTTATGTTTAAAAAAAGAAAAGTGCTGTAGCTTAATTTAAAAATTGAACCAATAGGTATTGAAAAATGTATTCTAAATTGTATATTACACTTTGTAATAATTGTGTTAAATTACATCAAAAAATAGTGAGTATAATAAAATATACAAATGATTTCAATATCCAGATTTACCCTAAAATTTCAAATAGGCCAATAATAGTTTAAGAAAATCTTGACATGATTTTTAAAAGAATTCAAACATTTCTTACTCTGTTGTTATTAATGAGTGATTCACAAACTTGCATATTCAATAATATGTAAGTGTTATTTTGTATCAGTTCAAGCATATAGCAAAATCAAACATGCAGGTAGTAAGCAAAACTAGTATCTCCGATCCAGTACTGGCATGTGATTTATAACAACATATAGTTGATCAATGGAGAATAAGAGCTTTATAGGTGAGAAAAACTTTCTCAAGATGTCCTGTGTTGAGCAAAGTGAACATTTTCTTTTAGAAAAATCTTTTGAGAAAAAAGATGGTATAAACTAAGAATAAATTTTGCTCTATTCACAGATCCAAGTAGCATAATGTAAGAATAGATTACACCCGCATGTAATGATGCACAGAACATTTCCTGAAGTTTTTTATTAGATCTCAGAAATAATATAATGCCCTGTTATTTAAACATCATATCTGCCCTGCTTTACTTTGTTCTTCAAAGATTTTAAATTTATTCAAATTATTTCAACTTTAGGTGAGAATAAAACAGAATTTAAAGCTTGGGTCACTAACAAAATGCATACATACATGTTCTTAAATCTTCTGAACCATAAATTAATGGATATGTGCTGTAATATTTTACACATCATACAATGATTTTAAGAGAATTTACAACACAGTCAAAATAGCTTACAACTTTCAATTCATACTCCTGTTAAAAAGTATTGATTAAAGGGAGATAACACAGATTTAAATATTAGTACCATGTAAGCTGACATTATTATTGTAGCAGAATGCTGATACTGATTACTGGCAATGTTTTATAAAGCCATTAAAATGGAAAAAGTCTATTTATTACTTCATTTAAGTAAAATGGTGTCTTCCAGTAAGCATAAATTCTCTTGCATACAAAAGACCTTCAAAATTTTCTAACAAAAATGAGAACAATAAAAATCTGTATATAGTAGGCAATGATTAAGCACAATTTTAAAGTTAACAAATCACTTGTGAAGCATGCCCAGTTCAAGGGCTTAATTATTTACTCTGATCTATCTCAAGACAAATATATGAATGAACAAACAGTATAATTATTTAGTTATTCTTGGAAATGGGAAACAATATATATATGAAGCTATTCCATTGCTAACTCCATGCAAAAATCATTACTTTAGCACTTAAAATATCAATAAACAGCAAAATATTACTAAACTCTTGTAAAAAAAAATAAAAATGAATCATTAAGTAAAGGGAAACAACTCATTAAGACGAAAGTGACCAAAATCAAATATATTCTGAGCAAGTAAGACCTTCCTTTGAAAGAAGGTACATGCACTTTTTAAAAAAAAAAATGAAGTTATCAGTGGACAGTCCCTTTAAGGGGTACCTGTAAAGTATCATCACAGAAGTATTCCATCTAATATGACGATATAACATTAAATAGTGACAATCATGTAAACACAGCAATAATGCCTTGAGGAATGTTGACAATAATAGCACACTAGAAACACCTGTCAACAATGAGCAATGACAAAAATTAAATAATCACGCATTTTAATTTTAGAAAAGAATATCACACAAACTGAAAGTAATTAAAAAACCCAAAAAATATATGTTTTATTTTCATTGTATTGGTCATCTTTAAAGAACTCACAGCTGTTAGAATTAATTCTTTTGTCAAAAAAGTGATAAATAAATAAGAATAATGTTTTTCGGGGGTTATTTTTTACCTATGGATATGCTAGCAGTGACATGCCTATGCCAACACTGTAGAGCTGATTCAGTCTCCACATCTTTGCCTGCTTGCATATCAGTACCACTTCACATATCGGTACCAGTCTGCATATTTGTAACAGCCTGCATATCAGTACCAGCCAGCATATTGGTACCAGTACCAGCCAGCATATCGGTACCAGCCTGCATATCGGTACCAGTTTGCACATCTGTAACAGCCTGCAGATCCGTACCAGCCTGCATGACGGTACCAGTTTGCAAGTCGGAACCAGTTTGCATATCGGTACCAGTTTGCATATCGGTACCAGCCTTCACATCTGTGCCTGCTTGAATTTTTGTACAAGCCTGCATATCTGTGCAAGCTTGCATATCTGTGTGGTCTTTTTAGTTACTTGCTTCATAAAAGTATTTTTTCTATCAGAATCCCACACATTAACAACGGACAGTTCAAGGGGTATAAGACCATTATAGCAGGGTAGAAACTAAACTGCCAACAAACTAACTGAAAAACGAATATTATTTCCGGATAGCCTTATGAATATTACACAGGATTTTTTATTGGGTATTTTTTTTTAATGAACAAGCAATATAAAGTGAGATATTAGCTATGAATTAAAGCTGGAATGATAATTCAATATTTTTATTATGAAAGAGTTCTAATATTGTCTTCTGCTAATGTTTTTCACTCTAATGATTTGTATTAACAAATGATAAAAAAAACACATATTTTAATTCATAGACTATTTCAGAATCTCTGTCTTTCATGCAAGTTTCTTCATTTCTTTCTCTCACAAGACCACAAAAGGATTTTAATTCACAAGAAAAATTGTGTTTACGCAGGAAGAAAGTAGATTTAAGATTATTCTAAATTGGCATTGATGTCTTATGCAAGAATATAATGTCATCACAAGATGATAACAATTATTAATTCAGCTCTATTATCTTAATGCTTCTAGATGACTACATTTTCTACCCATATATAGCAATCATATCCCTGATTTATCTTTATAACTTTTAAACATTGTTTGTGCACTATAAACAATCTTCTTTACATACAGAAGTCATTATGCTGCAGAATTAAATACATGCTCTGAGAGGACCTCTTTAAAACATTCTATGTATTTCTTGACAGCAATACAGAAACCTTTAGATGCTGGTAATAAAATATGTCCTGTATCACACTTGTTTACTGATGTCTTTGTCATTTCCCGCTCATTTTCTGTTGATTTCTCTACTGAATTGTTTGGTTCCTGTGTAGTTACTTCCCCTGTATTGTTGGGTTTTGGCTGAGTGACTTCCCCTGGTTTGATTGAATCAGATTCCTGAGATTCTGGAAAATCTGCCTTGTCTCCATTACATATACAGCCATTTTCAAGTTCAGAAGATGTCACCTGTCTACTCTTGTTAGAAAAATCTACCAAATTCTCCACTCTTTCTATCAATCTAGAAAAATATAAACAGGAAAAAAAACTTTATACAAAATAATTGCCATTCATGTTAGCTTTCATTAGATTACAGGCATTTAAAACCATTTCATTAGATAACAGGATAACACAATGGAGGTATTTCTTTTATCATTTTCCATCAGAATATATGTAAGAATAGTAACTAACCTATAAGCATGTGTGCGTAGATGTTCTTTTGTTTCTGTCTTGAAAATTTCCGGTGGTGTGACGGCCATTTTTGTCATTGACTGCAATAAAAAAGAATAAAATTACTAGAAGTTCATGCTAATTTATGAAAACAAAAGAATAAATTTTGCACAATGCTAGCTAAAGTTCACAAGTAAGTATATAGAGGATATTGAATGAGTGCAAGTTCAATACTGAATTTATTGCACAAGTTGAATAAAATTATATTATGTGAGCCTCTGGCGAGCATAATATTATTTTATTCAACGAGTGCAATAAATTCAGTAATGAACTTACACGAATTTAATATTCTATTTATCACATACCAAAAACTAGAAATGTGTCCATAGGACACGGATGCCCCCACACGCCACTGTTCTGTCAATCTTATGACTCTAGGTCAAATATTTTTTGGACTACATGTGCCACAAGTTGAAAACTAAAAATCAACAAAGGGCCATTATTCTGTTAAATTTGGTCACAGCAAAAATTCCTTCCTTTACTACCATCTACACATTAAGGTTGTTCATCCCTGGAAGTTTAAGTAAAATCTGCCATCCAGTTTAAGAGGAGTTGCGTTCACAAAATTTCTACATAGTATATAGTGAAAAAATCAACAAAGGGCCATAATTCTGTTAAATTTAGTCGCAGCAAAAATTCCTTCCTTTACTACCATCTACAAATTAAGGTTGTTCATCCCTGAATTTTAAGCAAAATCTGCCATCCGGTTTAAGAGGAGTTGCCTTCACAAAATTTCTACAGAGTATATAGTGAAAAAATCAACAAAGGGCCATAATTCTGTTAAATTTGGTTGCAGCAAAAATTCCTTCCTTTACTACCATCTACACATTAAGGTTGTTCATCCCTGGAAGTTTAAGCAAAATCTGCCATCCGGTTTAAGAGGAGTTGCGTTCACAAAATTTCTACATAGTATATAGTGAAAAAATCAACAAAGGGCCATAATTCTGTTAAATTTGGTCGCAGCAAAAATTCCTTCCTTTACTACCATCTACACATTAAGGTTGTTCATCCCTGGAAGTTTAGGCAAAATCTGCCATCCAGTTTAAGAGGAGTTGCGTTAACAAAATTTCTACATAGTATATAGTGAAAAAATCAACAAAGGGCCATAATTCTGTTAAATTTGGTCGCAGAAAAAATTCCTTCCTTTACTACCATCTACACATTAAGGTTGTTCATCCCTGGAAGTTTAAGCAAAATCTGCCATCCGGTTTAAGAGGAGTTGCGTTCACAAAATTTCTACACAGTATATAGTGAAAAAATCAACAAAGGGCCATAATTCTGTTAAATTTGGTCGCAGCAAAAATTCCTTCCTTTACTACCATCTACACATTAAGGTTGTTCATCCTAGAAGTTTAAGCAAAATCTGCCATCCGGTTTAAGAGGAGTTGCCTTCACAAAATTTCTACACAGTATATAGTGAAAAAATCAACAAAGGGCCATAATTCTGTTAAATTTGGTCGCAGCAAAAATTCCTTCCTTTACTACCATCTACACATTAAGGTTGTTCATCCCTGGAAGTTTAAGCAAAATCTGCCATCCGGTTTAAGAGGAGTTGCGTTCACAAAATTTCTACATAGTATATAGTGAAAAAATCAACAAAGGGCCATAATTCTGTTAAATTTGGTCGCAGCAAAAATTCCTTCCTTTACTACCATCTCTACACATTAAGGTTGTTCATCCCTGGAAGTTTAGGCAAAATCTGCCATCCAGTTTAAGAGGAGTTGCGTTAACAAAATTTCTACATAGTATATAGTGAAAAAATCAACAAAGGGCCATAATTCTGTTAAATTTGGTCGCAGCAAAAATTCCTTCCTTTACTACCATCTACACATTAAGGTTGTTCATCCCTGGAAGTTTAAGCAAAATCTGCCATCCGGTTTAAGAGGAGTTGCGTTCACAAAATTTCTACATAGTATATAGTGAAAAAATCAACAAAGGGCCATAATTCTGTTAAATTTGGTCGCAGCAAAAATTCCTTCCTTTACTACCATCTACACATTAAGGTTGTTCATCCCTGGAAGTTTAAGCAAAATCTGCCATCCGGTTTAAGAGGAGTTGCGTTCACAAAATTTCTACACAGTATATAGTGAAAAAATCAACAAAGGGCCATAATTCTGTTAAATTTGGTCGCAGCAAAAATTCCTTCCTTTACTACCATCTACACATTAAGGTTGTTCATCCCTGGAAGTTTAAGCAAAATCTGCCATCCGGTTTAAGAGGAGTTGCGTTCACAAGATTTTGGGACGTACGGACAGACGTACGGACGGACGGACGGACACTCGGACGGACAAGTGCAACGCTATATGCTCCCACTCTGTGGGGGCATAATAAAGTCCGTTTAAAGTGAAATATTTTTACACTAAATATTGTTGTAAAGGACAGACTGATATTTTACTTTGTATCAAGTTTTATCTACAATGAATTGTGAAAGCCAATCTCAACTTAGATCAAGTTTATCACATTTACATTCATGTAATTTAAATAGTCACTGACATAGTCACTTGTCAAAACTGGTTAACCTCCATGCATTTTCTTATATCATGAAATGTCAGTTAACTAGACCCACAAACCTTTTACTGCCTACCCAGATATTTTAACCCAACTTCCAATGTGGAATTTAAAATAACAGTTTCCTGAAAAATTAACCAGTAATTACCAATTTTTACACAAGAGACTGACTTTCTAATTCCACATGATTTCTGAATCCCTGGTAATAGACAAATGACCACTGGACTCAATGTCCAACATTAATTGTCACAGAGGAGTGAACTAGAGACCCCTGAATTACTTATCCTATACTCCTCCAATTGAGATAAGCAGGGAAACCTGCAAACCAACAGCTTCAAGTGGCATTTCAGTAACTTTAAGAACTTAGCCACCCATGAGCACTATTTTTACTATAAGTAAAGAGCTTACCTGTACAAGTTTTAAGACAGCCATTTCATTGTACATGCGGCTGTTCTCCTGACCATGTTGAGAGCCACGTTGTTTTTCATACCCTGCCTCATTAAAATATGGCTCAGGCACTAATATCAATCCTGCAAGAGAAAAATTTGCATAAAATATTTATAAAACAAGAAGCGCCACAATGCGACAAACCCAGGTTTTCAACGAACAACTTTTGATGTGACAGGAATTCATAGGTCAAAGTGCACTGAAGTTATTGAGTAGAAGCTAAAAATTTTATTGTAAGCAAATGACCTTGACCTTGCTCCCAGATATCTAAAATATCCCAAGCTGCCAGAGCAAGTTTGATTATAAAAGGTCAAAGCGAAAGTTATAAGTGAAAACTGAATTTCTCTTTTAAGCAACAAAGTGACCTTGTTCAAAGACACCTGGGTAGCAATCCCAAGTTGCATCTTGATATAAGCTACCCACATACTAAATTTGGTGTCAATAAGTCAAAGCAAACTAAAGTTATTATGCAAAGACTGAATTTATATTTTTAGCAACACTGACATTGACCTTGATCAAAGACATCTGGGTAGAAATCCCAAGTTGCGTTCTGATATAAGCTATTTACACACCAAGTTTGATGTCAATAGGCGTCAACAGGCCAAAGCAAACTCAAGTTATAATTGAGCTGAAACTGATCACAGACACCTGGGTAGCAATCCCAAGCTGCCTCTTCATAGCTTTATAAATAGAGGATTATCAATGAGTGTAGATTCAATACTAAATTTATTGAACAAGTTGCCTCTGGCATGCATAAGATTGTTTTATTCAACAAGTTTAATAAATTCAGCATTTAATCTACAAGAAAATAATATATATTTATCAAAAGTCTAACATAAGAATACTATACCTTGAATTGAAACAAGCACTTGAAGCACACTTGATTTATTTGTCCAGAGTTCATTACCCTGTAAATACAGAATCACTCATAATGTAATTGATACACTAATAATGTTAAAATAAGTTTTGGAACAAAACCACACTAAAAAGAATGCTATTTACCAATAAAATATTTTAAAACGCAGAATTTAATGTACAGAAATGTACTGAAAAGGCATCACTGTAATTGGTGTAAGTAAAATGTAAATTTTCTTTTTGATAAAAATGCCATGCCATGATGATACAGCTAGATCGTATACCTATGTAGTAACATTTAATAGCAATTATTTTAACAAATTAATTCCTGTGAATAACTTAATTATGTATCAATGCCACCAACTTTTTTCCAGTTTAGTTGATCTTTACCAAAAAGAATTTTTAACAATTTAAAAATATCTCGTGTAAACTAAATAGTCAAACTACATATATGTTAAAGTAAAATGATAAACATTACTCAAACTACAAACACTGCTGGACTGTTTAATTTTTTCCCCTAAGAATGAATGTTATTAAAGGTAACAAACCTTTCCAGTCCAGGTACCAAGCAGGCTGACACAGACTTTACCGTCCTCGTACAGGTTTGGATTGAGACGTTCATTACAGAAGGAGATATAATGGAACACTGGTGGTGAATTTGGGAAATTGGCAGGTAACTGGACATCAAAGAAAAACAATCCATCCTCGTATGGTGTATTTACAGGTCCTTTAATCATCACTGATAATAGGTCCTACAATACAACAAACATAACATATACCAGATACATTCTCTGATTTACAAGTCATATACCATATTGACTGTGAGATTTTAGTATTAAAATCTCTATACCTCAATACAACCCAAAAATCTGAACTAAAATTCAACAATACTAAGAAAATTAAGAAAAGTAGAACACTCAACAATGAAATTCAAGAAGACAAGTTTATTCTATGTTACAAAGCAAACCATTTTATTTAACAATGTACAAGTTTAATGCAAGAAATGTGTAATTTTGCTAGCTGAAACCCTTTTAACTTGTGGAACAATGACACATGTTAGTTTAACATGTACCAGGCTTCATATCTTAAATGGGCATGTCCATCTCTCAATAAGGACAAAACCATTCATCATTTTTAGGTAAATTTCAAAATACATATATGTACTGATATACATGTAATAGCAAACAGAACAAACTGTAATCAGATGGCACACATGTGCCGGCTGATCTTAGTCTGCACTGGTCACATGGGTATTTTTTTCAATTGCTGTCAGCAGGCTAAGGGTTAAAGTTACCTTAATGGTTTCCGATGTAAAATTAAATCAAGTTTTTCTTTCTTTATGCTGGCAACATGTTTAGGTTTAAAACGATAGAAAGCTATTACATGAACACTCATATTCATATTATATAAAGGTTAATCATACCATCCTGTCTTCAAAGACTCTCACAAATATTCCATCTGGAAGACTAGTGCGTAATAACATCCACTGAAAACATACAATATACAATGTATTTTCAGAAATTTTAATTCAGATAGGTTTTAATACAATACAATTTTACTTTAATTTACTCTAGGTAAAAGTGACATAAATCAAGTAAAATACAATATATTTTCACTTCATATCAATAATTCTAAAATCCAGCTTACATATATATATATATAGATGTACTGAAAGAATTTCAAAGATAATATATTATAGTAACTGCTAGCTGATTTACCTCTTTTCTCACTGCTACATTGAAAGATTTCTGGTTGGAAGGCTTCTGATCCTGATATCTAAAATGGTGACTAAATGGTGTTTCACTACAAACTTCAAATCCTGGAAGAATCAAATAGTTTCATCTACATAAATGGTCCAAATTTATGGTAAGAAATTTGGGGTACATTTGAATGTTATACCATTTAGCTAGCTTTAACCTTTGTTCTGTAAGTGGGTCTGACAGGTAAATCACATCAAGGTGTAGTAACCTTTAAAGTTTGGGGGGTGTAGATGGAAGGACTTCCATGTTATGGAAAAGGTTAATGTTTTATGACAAACAGACAGACAAATTGACAAAACTTACTAAAACTAAAACAATTTTTTGGAGCATAAAGTCGGTCTTACAAGTATGTTAGGTAAATACTAAGAGGATATTTTTTCGTTTGCGTGAAATTATATGGAATATATTTTCACGAAACATGATAAAATGCCACATATTTTCATGAGCCAGTACGGCAAGTGAAAATATGTGGCATTTTATCATGTTGAGTGAAAATATATACAATATTTCACAAAAAACGAAAAAATAACCTTTTTATTTTATTTCATTATCAAAGAAAATGGTAACGAATCCCCTTGCTTGCTTCCAATTGTACAGCGCGCAGTAATTTATGCGTAAGCACGCGCTGTTTGGCGCTACATTGAAACGTCATGTAAACAACTCTTTAAACGTCTGTACAGCGTTAATTACTGAATTAAAGATATTGGTGTTCGGATTAATTTTCTTAGTTAGACCATTTTCTATCATGCTAGATAGTTTTCAAAACAATATTCAAGAAAAAGTTGTTTTGTATTTATCAGATTTTTCAAACAAAACGGCGAAAGAAGTCCCTTAAAATAAATATGAGTTTTGACTCCGCCCACTTTCATATTTATATTTCATATTTATTTTTAAAAAATATGAAGTATATTTGACTGATATAGCACCATATTTCATGGGTAAAATTAAATAAATGTATATATCATTTTTAAGTATTTTCCTCTTGTAATGGAAATCTATTAAAATGCTCCATAATGTAAAATGAATCATATCTCTCATTACAATTCAGTCTCATTATTTAAACCAACTAAATGTAAATCACTAAATTGTACAGTAATAATAACACTTATGTGATAAGGAGACCCTGTAAAATATCTTTAAATTTCTTAATATAATGTTTCATCTTTGTTCAACATGATGATAAAATATCAAGAAAAAATGGGATTAAAACAGAACAGGTGACTAACGTGAAGCATTGTCACCTTTAAAGGCCCAACTGGACTATGAAAGCCAGCAGATGGCGCTAGGGCAGGTTTCTTATTAATTTTATGCATGCTTCACTTCAGGGACCCTTTTTCAAAGATTTAAGATTAATTACCAAATGCATTAAAACAATACTTGGCATGTTTGTAGGGATAGATATTTTTGATAAAGATTGACCAAAATTATTCAAAATATAACTTTGTTAAGTGTATTTCTGGAAAAAAATACTGGCTGTCAAATTTGAAATTTGAATTTCCCTGGGAGGAGCCATGTGATCATTACAGGTCATGAACCTTCAGTAGTAAACAGAAGCACGTGGCAGTGTTTATTTCAGGGAGAGGGATTTGTAGCAGATGATGTATATTTCAGGGAGGGAGATTTTCAGCAGACGACACATTGGAATGCTGAATAAAACAATAACTTTTACTGACTTGCTTTATCAAATCCAACAAATTTACAATAATCCATTAAGCTATGATTGTTTTTTTAAATTTCAAAGTACTGATTTAACTTGTATTTGAATGGTTTAAACTTCATGAAAACAGTAAAAGTAACTTCCAGGTATATTTCATTTACACTATATTTTGTTGTAAATATCTTGTAGTCAAAAATTACATTTCACAAATGTTAATCAAACTAAATGTTGCATATGCATAAAAATTTTATACATTAACAGTTTAAAAATATTTTAAATTCCTGTCAAGAACATTTTTAGCAGGTTGTTCAAAAGAAATGCCCCATGTAAGGCACATCTTTTGGATTTTGATATAATTGTCTGACTTGATGAAGGACACATACAGCATTCCAGTGAAAAAAAGAGAAAAACAACTGACTTCAAAAATAATATCTGGACAAGATGACTTGATAATGTCTTTGTTATATAAAACATCCATTAAACCTCTCCTGTGTAAAATCAGCTGTTTTTGTTTACATTCTCTCTGCAGGTTAACACTGCATGCTATTTATAGTTCAGGGTTTATAACAGACAGTTTTACATCACTGATTAGTCACACCCACAAATACTCGCTGCCGCTGCAGCGAATGTTGCCCCTTTAATACAAATAACCTTCATAAAAACAAAGTTACCTCTTTCCTCTTTGACTTCAGTTTCAATAGTTTCATCTGGTTCTTCTATTTTATCTTCAGTTTTGTCAGTAATATCATTTTCCGATGCAGGTGGTTTCTCTTCAATATTCTCACCCTCTTTTACACTCTCTGTTTCCAATAAATATTCAAACTGATTTGGTTCGGAACTTTCATCAGCAACTAAACGTAGTGGACCTCTACCACTCTCCACAGATTCTATCATTTTAGCCTGCATTTTCTCAAAAAGTTCAATATCACTGACATCGTCATCACATCCAAATTTAAAAGCTAACCATTTTCTATTAACTTCTTGTTTTACATGAAGAAGACGAACATTAAGAGCTTTACAGACATGTATACACAATGTTCTATGACTAGGAGGTAAGATTTGGTCCTCAAATTTGTCATCTATTTCAAGAGAACCAGTCTGTTCTGCCGACTTAGAATCTTCTTTTCCTGCAGACTGTTCATCTTTTGTCTCACCCAGGCCAGTCTGCTCTGCCTGTTCCTTTACTACCTGGTCTTTTCCTTCACAAGCAATCTGCACTTTCTGTTTAACAGCCTCAAATGCAGCATGCAATTCTTGATCACTCTTATCACAGACTGAATCAATCACAGTTTGTATAATATCACCTGCTGATAAACTATTTACAAGTTCTTCAACATTAGCACTATCTTCTTGGGCAACAGCTCCATCATTTGAAGCAGCTGACTTTTTGATCACAGGTTCCAATTCAGCACTTTTCTTTTTCTGAGTATTTTCATTTATAGTGGCATGTAGTGAGGTATCAAATATAATCTGCATAATTGGATCAACTATGTTGGAACCATACTCTATAAGAGCTTTCTTTAATCTTTTACATACCTCACTCTCTTCACTGGACTCAATTTTCCCACCAACTGCTCCTTGTTCTGTGCAAGAGTCTTCCATTTCTTTCTTAATCTCAGAATGTACTTCATCATTTTCAGTTTTGTCCGAGTCTTTTACGGTTTCATTTGCATTCTCTGTTGTCATATTCCTATATTTATACACTTGAGCAATATGCCTAGCAAGCTTTGCAGTTTTTTCTTTCCTTAGTTCAAATTTAATATCAGCAATCAACCCTGATATTTCTTCATCCTCAAAAAACGAGGACTTTAAGATCTTTTCAACTTCTTTACAGCGTTTAAATATTGCAAGAATGTCATGGAAAACTTGACGAGAGTTTTTGAAGAAGGGTCCAGCAACATTGACAAAAATATTAAGTAGCCCAGATACAGCTGCTTGAGCTCTGTCAAGTAGATCATCCAACTCTTTCTTCTTGCTATCACTAACAGTCCACAACTGCTTGGATCTAAACAAGAAAATAATCACAGGAGGTAATTAAAAAAAATCAAAATGAGGTCTGACTCAAACATATAAATGTAACTGATTCAAAATATTGAAGTTGGAATTAGTAAGGATTTTAATGTACTGTAACAAAGGAAATGCTGCAGGCTAGGTATGAATGAACCTGTTCATGGTTGTAGTATTTTACGTTCTAATGTCAGAACATCCTAGAGCCTACTAATCCTGAATTCAACACTAATAACAGTCTATGGGATAATAAGTAATTTTTGAAGAGATGTACAGCTATTTCTTTTCAAATTATTCTCATATTAGTCTTTTTATTTTCTTAATGAATATCAGCAAGAAAGACTTTAATCCAGCACTCAGAGATGTACATACAATAATACAAATTATATGATATACAAGAATTATCATTCATATTAAATCCATAGATACAAAAACACTAGGTAAACTTAAAACCCAAAAATTTGTTTAAGAAAAACATAATACAAATAAAATACATCAGCATCTGTTTAATCTGAGACACAGTGCAGACCCAGTAGTACTCACTTGGTTTTCTTTGATTCAGTGTCTGTATCAGTGGCTGTTTCCTCATTTTCTGTTTCCCAGCTAACATCACTTCCATCTTCTTCTTCTTCTTCTTCCTCTTCTTCACCTTCATCTGTCCATTCTGATTCACTTCCTGATTCACTCTGAAACTAAATAAATATCACATTCAGACATACTGACATTCAATATTTATTTTCAGGAATTTTACTCAGATACCATATATTACTTATTAAAAGCCGTGTTGTCTTTTATTTGAATCAGGATGCATTCCCCTGACTGGACTGGAGTATACATTCTCCCCCCTCATTATTTTTTCCATCTCCCTCCCACCCAACTTCCATGTTGTTGTCTTTTTTTTGTTGTTGTTTTTTTCTTTCTTTCTTTTTCAAACACATTACTGATCAAAGATAAAACAGTAAACAGTAAAAACACAATTAAAAGCCCATATTATACATAGGAGAAAACCCCCCTTCTATCTAATTCACATACATTTTCTCCCTACTATAGGCCAAGATCCATTTTCCAACAAAGTGAAGAAAAAAACAACAAATAACAATAGGACAACATGCCAGACTAGTTTCAGTGCTTGTTAGTAAAAGTAACAAGAGCCTGGATAATGAAAGAATTAACATAGAGGAAGATTTCATTCATAAAATTACAAATAATGAACATGACATAGTCATGTGTCTTGGATACTGACCTATGAATTTTGTAAAAGTTTACAAAGGGCCTAATTTCATTCATGGGACTTGGAAAGTGACCTTGAATTGTAATTCAAAAGAGTACATCACGTTTCAATTGAATACAATCAGTGATTTTTGAAAGTATAATGTTGAAAGCAAAACTTAAATCAAAGTTCCGTAATTCAAACAAAATCCATTCTAGAGTTATAGGCCTTGAATAATGACCTCAAATTATGAACTTGAAGTAATGTATAAAGTTTTAGGTGAATATTTTCAGTAGTTTTTAAAGATTGATGATGCATGTATGAATTTTCTAAATTCAAAAAGGGCTATAATTCAGTCAATATCCATACTGAAGTTATGGGCCCTGGGACAGAGACATCCTATTATGCTCTCAAATAGGTGTGTGAAGTTCAAAACAAATATCATAAGCAGTGGATGAGATATGATGTTGCATGCAAAACTTTAACCAGTGGGTGTGTAGGATAGCCCTACTATTCTTCAAATAGTCAAGCTAAAAACAGTGTCAACAGCATATATTTTGCTTAAGGTTTTAAGTTGTTTTTTTACAGGGTTTGCGAAATGGCTTAATTTGTGAAAGTTTGTCAATGACATCAGTAAAATCCAGATCCAAAATTTTGTAAAAGGACAAATCATTTATTTAGTTAAGAAAGGTCAAATCATCCTATTTTCAGATTTAAGAACATGAAAATAAACTTGGATACACATCTTTGCCCATGTTAAATTATAGTGAACATACCTCTTCTCCAATAATATAGAGGTCAGATGGATAGCATTTTGTTATGACCCTGTTAGGCCACCATACTTGTATTGTTCCCTCAGGATCTATTCTATACACTTGGCCTACAGCTTCATAGTCACTGTCCGGCTGTCACAACAAAACAAACTAGAACTATCGCTGAATGCGATTCATACCCCCACCAATGTCCTTGACAGAAGACAACTTGGAAAGGTGGTTAAGGGAATAACTAAAGTGACACAAATACATAAAAAAGAAATTATCTCTGGTGAAAAAAAGACTAATTGTACAGGTAATAGTAAAAATATCTATAATCAAATCATGTTCGAAACAGTTACAAATAACCTTTCATTTTCCCAATATACTAAACTTTTTATAAGTCAATTTTTGACCTTCAAGTGTGGCCTTGACCTTCAGCTGACACAAGGGTAAGACGGGTTCTGCACATCCCCCAATTGGAGTGAACATTTGAGTAAAGTTTGAAGAAAATCCTTCCATTAGTATAGAATTTATAGAGCGGACACAACATATTGTCTAGTATTGATTGTATGTAAATTTAAAGACTTAAAAAGGGGCATAACTTTGTCAAAATCCAATACAGAGTTATGAAACTTGACCTGCATATCGTAATTGTGACACCTCATATATCTTTCAAGTTTCAAGCAAATACCTATGCTAGTTTCCGGAATATTAAAGAACATGTTTTAATCTAAGAACATTTTCCAAGTCAATTTTTGACCTTCAAGTCTGACCTTGACCTTTAGCCTGCACAAAGGTGACATGGATTCTGCACATAACCTTGTTTAGGTGAACATTTGAGAAAAGTTTGAAGAAAATTCTTCCATTAGTATAGGATTTATAGAGCGGACACAACATATTGTCTAATATGTGATTGTATGTAAATTTGAAGATTAAAAAGGGGCATAACTTTGTTAAAATGCAATACAGAGTTATGAAACTTGACCAGCATATCTTAATTGTGACATTTCATTTATATTTTAAGTTTCAAGCAAATACCTTTCCTAGATTCAGAAATATGCAGATATATGTAAAAATTAAAGAACATTTTCTAAGTCAATTTTTGACCTTCAAGTGTGACCTTGACCTTATGCCGGCAAAAGAGTGACATGGGTTCTGCACATAACCTTGTTGAGGTGAACATTTGAGCCAAGTTTGAAGAAAATCTTTCAATAAGTGTAGGACTTACAGAGCGGACACGACATACTGTGTAATATTTGATTGTTTGATATTTGACCTTCAATTGTGACCTTGACCTTGAGCTGACACATGGGCAACATGGGTTCTGCACATCCCATTGTTGAAATGAACATTTGAGCCAAGTTTGAAGAAAATCTTTCAATTAGTGTAGGACTTACAGAACGGACACGACATATTGTTTAATATTTGATTGTTTGATATTTGACCTTCAATTGTGACCTTGACCTTAAAATGACACATGGGCAACATGAGTTCTGCACATCCCCTTGTTGAGGTGAACATTTTAGCCAAGTTTGAAGAAAATCTTTCAATTATTGTAGGACCTACAGAGCGGACACGACATACTGTCTAAATAATGATTGTGTTTGATATTTGACCTTCAATTGTGACCTTGACCTTGAGCTGACACATGGGCAACATGGGTTCTGCACATCCCCTTGCTGAGGTGAACATTTGAGCCAAGTTTGAAGAAAATCCTTCAAGTGGTATAGGAGTTATAGAGCGGACACGAAAATGGAGACGGACGGACCGACCGACCGACCGACTGACCGACCGACCGACCGACGCGACAAAGCGAATCCATTATAGCCCCCCCCACATTTTGTGGTGGGGGTATAATGAAGAACTTACATAAAACAACAGCCTACAAAGTACAATCACTTTACATATATTCTATTAACTCCTCCCTCATGTAACAATAGGATTGCAAGCATACAAATCAGAACACAAGATAACAAAGAATAGCATTGAATAAAATCATCATGTGATCAGGCCTCGAAGAATTCTTCCAGGGCGTGTTACCCTATAATTTTACTCTCCTTCACAAAATGTACTTGCCCTGCATTTGACAGACAAAAATAGTTAAAATAAACAAGAGGGCCATGATGGCCCTAGATCGCTCACCTGACCCATCAAACTCATCCGAACAATTACCTAGACAAGCATTCTGACCAAGTTTCATGACAGGTGATTCAAAAATGTGACCACTACAGTGTTAACAAGGATTATCCATATTTGTGTGGCAGTGTGACCTACTTTTTTACCCAGGTGACCCATATTCAAACTTGACCTAGAAATCATCAAAACAAACTTTCAGACCAATTTCCAGGATACTTGGATCAAAACAGTAGCAACTAGAGTGTTAACAAGATTTTTCTATTTTTAGCTCCGGTGACCTAGTTTCACATGCAATTTCGTACTCATCCAAGCAATTACCTAGAAAAGCATCCTGACCAAGTTTGATGATAACTGAGTCGAAAATGTGACCACTAGAGTGTTAACAAGGTTTTTCCATATTTGGGCGGTGTGACCTAGTTTTTCATCCGAGATGACCCATGTTCGAACTTGACTTAGAAATCATCAAAACTAACTTTCAGACCATTTTACAGGATATTTGGATCAAAACAATAGCCACTAGAGTGTTAACAAGATTTTTCTATTTTTAGCTCCTGTGACCTAGTTTTTCATCCGAGATGACCCATGTTCGAACTCATCCGAGCAAGTACCTAGACAAGCATCCTGATCAAGTTTGATGACTTGTGTCAAAAATGTGATCGCTAGAGTGTTAACAAGATTTTTCTATTTTTAGCTCCGGTGACCTACTTTTTCATCCGAGATGACCCATGTTCGAACTCATCCAAGCTATCACCTAGACAAGCATCCTGACCAAATTTGATGATGATTGATGCAAAAATGTGATCCCTAGAGTGTTAATAAGGTTTTTGTATTTTAAGCTCCGGTGACCTAGTTTTTCATCCAAGATGACCCATGTTCGAACTCGTCCGAGCTATCACCTAGACAAGCATCGTGACAAAGTTTGATGATGATTGAGGCAAAAATGTGTCCGCTAGAGTGTTAATAAGGTTTTTCTTTTTTTAGCTCTGTTGACCTAGTTTTTCATCCGAGATGACCCATGTTCAAACTCATCCAAGCTATAACCTAGACAAGCATCCTGACTACGTTTGATGATGATTGATTTAAAATTGTGACCGCTAGAGTGTTAAAAATGTTTTTCTATTTTTAGCTCTTGTGACCTAGGTTTTTATCCGAGTTGACACATGTTCGAACAAATCCGAGCTATTACCTAGATAAGCATCCTGACCAAATTTGATGATGATTGAGGCAAAAATGTGACTGCTAGAGTGTTAACAACTAAATGTGAACGGACGACGGACAATCATCGATCCTAAAAGCTCACCCTGAGCATGCTCAGGTGAGCTAAAAACACATGACTAAAATTTACTATTTACCGGTCAATTTTGGTATAACTGGCTTTATTTAATTACATACTGTTTATAATACTTTTCATACTTTTAATATATAATCTTCAACATAGGCTGTATACTCAATTCCTTCATATTCATAGGCATCTATCTCATAGCTAATTATAACACTTTACTGAACGCATAATGTATAAAACATTGACAAATGCTACATTATAAGTGTTTGGTAAATATTTTACACTTAGACATGAGGTCAATTTCCAGTTTCCGTTTGACAGTACTAGGATTGAAATGACATCTACAGTGTGATTATTTTACAGAAAAAACGTCAGTTATGTTTAGAGAAACATCATTTGGATACGGAGAATCTAACTCACCATTCTGGGCAAGTTACCAATTGCATTAATTAAATTATTAATTAAAACTTAGATAACCAATCAACATTTCTAGCATCATATTAAGTAGTTATTGCTATCCTCCATTCTATTTGATAAAAAGATACAGAATCCCTATATCCATGCATTTAATTGGACTCAAATGATTTTCTAAAACAAATATATCACCTCATCTTTAAACAAAAAAATATTAAAGTTCTATTTCTTTATAAGTCTTCATAAGTAAAATGAAATTACATAATACTTTACAATATCTTAAGCAATAAAAGCAAATTAACATATTGCCCTACTGTAAAAGTGGTGGCGTGGCTGAATGCATAATGCGACTGACTAGTAATCTGAGGAATGCTAACCACCTGGGTTCAAACCCTGTTAGGGGCAAGCTGTTGTTTCCTTCAGCAAGAAATTTTACATTCATTGCTTAGTACTGGTTGGTTCCAGGATTGGATTCGAGAGTATATTAATAAGCTTATAGCTTCCAACAATCAAACTAAAATAAATTTGTATAAACTATTGTAATCCTAATATAAAAATGTAGAAATGTATGAAAATTTTACTTCATATCCTCCGACCCTGATGACAGTGTGGCGACATCGAAACTTGTAATCTGGATGATCCTTGATATCAAATACACTCAACTCAACTGGCTCTGTTTCTTCTGGTCTGTTATTACAAATATGCATAACTTTAACTTATATTAGTTTAGACATCCGATATCCCTATTTCTTGCATTATCAGGGTTTCTTGTATTATCTGATGGAATTGGCACTAGGTGATCCAAAAACATATCTACTTTTAATTTCTGATTTACCTCTGTCAAAGCGCAGAATAAAAAGCAGGAAAAGTAAATAAAAAAAATATTTTCTGAACCAAGAGCTGTCGGTAGGACAGCAACGCTCGACTATTCTTAGTGCTTCATAGTTAAATAGCCTTGATAATGTAAAATTTTCTGAGTTAACAAAAGGGCAAAATGTTTCTTTAAATCCATGTTACAGTTTAACGCCTTGGAGAGAGTCCTATTATGCTCTCAAAGGAGAGTATAAAATTTCAACTTGTTTCAAATCCTGATGTCAATAGAATATGAAAATATCTGAGGTGGTATGCAAACCTAAATGTAAGTTCTAAGTCGAAAACAAGAATTTGTAACAGAGTTACCAACGTCCCCCGCCCCGGGAGTTTTATATGAAGCATAACATTGTGCTATATCAAAAGATTGAGGTATGGATCTCAGGACATTCAGTCCAAAATTATGATCAATGCTAGATCTGCAAATGTAACAATAAATTTGTTAAAAAAATAAAATGAAATACCGAATTTAAAAATCTATCATGTTAAGCTTTGACCTCTAAGTGTGGCCTTGACGTTGGAGGTAGGGGAGCAGGTGTTGTGCATGACATAACGTCTTATTATTGAGACTATTTGTGCCAAGTATTTTCAAAATCCCTTGAACTATGAAGAAGTTATAGATTGGACTCAAAATATACCCTATAACAGACTATGTAAATCTTTGACCTCTAAGTGTGACCTTGACCTTGGAGGTAGGGACACAGATGTTAGGCATGACATATCATCTAATCATTGTGACTATTTGTGCCAAGTATTTTCAAAATCCCTTAATCTATGAAGAAGTAATTGACGGGACAAAAAATATACCAAATAACAGACTCTGTTAACCTTTGACCTCTAAGTGTGACCTTGACCTTAAGAGGTAGGGGTGCAGGTGTTGTACCTGACATATCGACTTATTATTGTGACTATTTGTGCCAAGTTATTTCAAAATCCCTTGAACTATGAAGAAGTTCTAGATTCGACACAAAATATACCCTATAACAGACTATGTTAATTTTTGACCTCTAAGTGTGACCTTGCCCTTGGAAGTAGGGATGTCGTGGTTGCGCATGACACATCCTCTTATTATAGTGACTATTTGTGCGAAGTATTTTCAAAATCCTTTGATCTATGAAAAAGTTATAGACCGGACACAAAATATACCCTGTAACAGACTATGTAAGTATTTGACCTCCAAGTGAGACCTTGACCTTGGAGGTAGGTGACAGGTTTTTGCGCATGACACATCGTCTGATTATTGTGAACAATTATGGCAAGTATTTACAAAATCCCTTCATAGATAAGAAAGTTATGGACCGGACACGACATATACCCTCAAATAGACAATGTTGACCTTGAATGAGCAAGTACGACCTTGACCCTGAAGGTACGGGTCTGGTTGTTGCGCATGACACATCGTCTTATTATAACAAACATTTGTGCCAAGTAATTTCAAATTCCTTTGATAAATGACAAAGTTATGGACTGGACACGAAAGTGTGACGGACGGACGGACGGACGGAGCCTATTTCTATATCCCCCTTTTTTTCTTCGAAAAGGCGGGGGACAAAAAGGAGCATAATTTTGTCAAAATGCTTGATAGAGTTACCTCCTCCTGTCTACGGGTTGTGGTCATGATGTCGAACAAGTGTTCAAAGTTTCAAAGCCATGTGTCCATGGACTTTGAAAATATTTGAGGTATTACAAAAACTTAAATGTTAATTCTAAGTTGAAAAAGGGGCATAATTCTGTCAAAATGCTTGATACAGTTACCTCCTCCTGTTTACAGGTTGGGGTCAAGATGGTGAACAAGTGTGCAAAGTTTCAAAGCCATATGTCAATGGACTTACAAAAACTTTAACATAAGTGGTTATGCCGACGCTAACGCCGATGCTCGGGTGACTAGAATAGCTCTACTTATTCTTATCGAATGGTCGAGCTAATAACAGTAATCCAGAAAAATGTGTTATGATTTCTTCTTTGATTTTAATCATACTATAGTTAAGTTTAATTGAATCATAAAACACAAATATTTCCTATGATAATGCATTTAAACACTTAAAATTGATTGGCACTATTGATTTGCCTTCAGCAACCAATCAAATTCCCAGAAAGTTCCTAGTTCATCCAGAGGTTGCAGGTAAGTATTTATAATGATAGTGAAACATTAATTTGCTCTGGTTTCTGACTCTGTTTTTATTGTGTTTACTTTTGAAAATTGAATGAGCTAAAAAGTTTACCTAAGATCAGATGTAAATGAAGTTGAAACAACAAAATACATTTTATATATAGTTTGATTATAACTGGATTTTTAAGTTGCACTGGACCATAGATACCCTTTCTTCATCAAATAACTGCTGCTAGTAAATTATAACTTACTTTTAAGTTTTGTTTCTGTCACATGTCTGTAACATTTAAAACTGAAAGGATTCTTTTTACATAATCATTCTACATCATTAAGAATAAGTATCTTACTTGTTTCCAGTGGATTTCCCAGAGACATAAGGTTTGACCCATTTCACCATAGCAGTTCTCTCCTTGTGGTCACTACATACAACAACACCATAATCTGTGCTTGCATTACCTGAATTCAACTACAGTTTCTATTGATAATAATATTTTAAATGTATCTGCATTTATTTTAATATAGGACAACCCAAGTGATTATTCCTTAATTGTTCATGTTTTATGTTTGACTATAAAAGATGATTTTTAATACAATTCTAAAAAGACAGGAAATGTGTTAAAATACTGGGCAGATAAAATAATTCTTGTAACAAGAAACATGGCAATGCCATGAAACCAGGTTTTCAATTATCACCATTGTAGATAAATATGTTGTATTTGAAATACAAATACAAGCAACAAACAATGTAACTATGTGCAATGTAAAACATAAATAATGTAGGAGGAATTGCCACTGAAGAAGTGTTCACTATATATTCTGTATAAGGAAAAAAAACAAAGGGCCATAATTAGGTCAAAAATTATCCAATCACAAAACCCCGACAATATGTGCCAGGGCACTTGATGACAAAGCTTCTGTGAAAGTTTGAACAAAATACGTTGAGAAATGTAGGACGAGTTCAGCACAGAAGAATTTGTTCACTATATTTTGATAATTCTGTATAAGGAAAATAAAAAAAGCTTCTGTGAAAGTTTGGTCAAAATCCGTTGAGAAATGTAGGAGAAGTTGCGCTCGATAGAAATTGTTCACTATATATTCTGTATAAAGAAAAAAAACAAAAGGCCATAATTAGGTCAAATATTATCCAATCACAAAACCCTGACAATATGCGCCAGGGCACTTGATGACAAAGCTTCTGTGAAAGTTTGGTCAAAATCCGTTGAGAAATGTAGAGGTAGTTCAGCACAGAAGAAATTGTTCACTATATATTCTATATAAGGAAAAAAAACAAAGGGCCATAATTACGTCAAATATTATTCAATCGCAAAACCCCAACAATATGCGCCAGGGCACTTGGTGACAAAGGTTCTGTGAAAGTTTCGTCAAAATCCGTGGAGAAATGTAGGAGGAGTTGCGCACAGATGAAGTTGTTCACTATATATTCTATATAAGGAAAAAAAAACAAAGGGCCATAATTAGGTCAAATATTATCCAATCTTAAAACCCCGACAATATGCCACAGGGAAAATGATGACAAAGCTTCTGTGAAAGTTTGGTCAAAATCCGTTGAGAAATGTAGGAGGAGTTGCGCACAGAAGAAATTGTTCACTATATATTCTATATAAGGAAAAAAGACAAAGGGCCATAATTACGTCAAATATTATCCAATCGCAAAACCCCAACAATACGCGCCAGGGCACTTGATGACAAAGCTTCTGTGAAAGTTTGGTCAAAATCTGTTGAGAAATGTAGAAGGAGTTGCGCACAGAAGAAATTGTTTACGCCCGCCCGTCCGCCCTCCGACATACCTCAATCTAATAACCAGTTTTTTCCTTCGGAAAACCTGGTTAATAAAAATATCAAGAATTTTGTTTATTATTTAAAACTAACTGCTATCTGTATTTAGACCAAAGTCTACAAACTAGTTTTTTACCTTTACTGTCCTGTACAAAATCTCCAGGGAAGAACTCCAACTCATCTAAGTGATGAATAGGATATAGTTCTGGTGATGGAACATTTTCTTCTACACTGCCATCCTTAAAAATAAACATTACTGAGCATTTAAAATTATAACTTTCAAAACCATTCAAAATTATAACTTGCAAAAAGAGTTGTTTTTTTTCTAATAGAAGTAAAGAGCTTTACATTAAAATGCAATGTTTATATTGAGTGACTATTTACAAATACAAATGTACATTATCAGTGTCTGTAAGTGTTTATATACATTTAAAGCTTACCTGCCACATGACATTACAGGTAGAGAAAGTGTACCATATCTCTATAGGAACTTTTTCACCTGGTTTAACTTTTCTCTCAATATGGTGTGCTTTCTTCTTTGTCTTTTTGCCTTTCACCTTCCTCAATGTCCTACCTTTACCATGCTGGTTCATTCGATGCCTCCTCTGCGGTACAGGACTACTTCCTGGCCCTGATTTGACGGAACCATTTTCAGAACTAGAATCACTACCACTGTCCTCCATATCTTCAAATTCATCATCCCCTACTGGTTCTTTTTCTTCTACATCATCATGACCATTAATGTTAGTATCTCCTTCATTTGTTTCACAATTTTCTTTGTTATTATCATCTATATTATTCTTTTTGTTTTGTTCTTTAACACTTGTAATTTTCTCTTGGCCTAGTTGTTTAATATGTATCCCATCAGCACTTGTACCTATTACAAGTACATTATCTTTTGCTTTAAGTTGTATAATATCAGGTGTGACATGTTTCCTTGGAGATATTTTATGAAGAAGTGTATCAGTCTCTTTGATTGTGTAATATCCTTTATCACCAATTAGCATATGGCAGTATTCGAAACAATCTAATCTTCGTAACCTGAAAACAGGGAATTAATAATTTAAAGGAATTTGAACAAATACATTTCTCCCTTTCATAGGTCTAATTTGAATACAGCTACAATACAAATACATGTATATATCATTTGGCTACAAAATCCAAATATTTCAGTATCAGTATGTCAATCTTAAATCTTGTATGGAATAAGAAGTCAATAGATGTTTGTTTAAGAGACAATAATCTTATCTAGAAATATCAATTTATAATTAATTTAACAAAGGGCTAAAATTTAGTCAAAATCCATGCTGGAGTTATTGTTCTTGGAAAGACCTACAATTATATTATAAAAGACATGTGACATAACTGTGCAAAAGTTTCTACTGATTAGCTTTAGTAGTTTCTGAAATAAGAAGTTGCACGCAACACTTTATCCAAGTGTTTTATCAACCAAAAGAAGCTGCCAGCAATTATGTGTGAAGGGATGGCACCACTATCCTTAAATGATTCAAACTAAAGAGCAATTCATAAGCCAGCATTTTGAACTGTTGGAACATGAAACAAGAGCCACCGCCGGGCGGGGGCAACGCTCGACTTTTTACTTTCTCTAAAAGCAAACAAAGAAATGTTTGAACAAAATATTAACGTTTCCTTTTTTATAAAATTAATCATTCTGTTTTGTCACATTAGTTTTGTCTATATATTTTATATATATAAATTTACTAATTTATATATATATAAATAGAGACACCCAATTCGAAGTCACATGGTGGTGTCACGTGGTGGAGTCACGTGGTGGAGTCACGTGGTGGAGTCACGTGGTGGAGTCACGTGGTGGAGTCACGTGGTGGAGTCACGTGGTGGAGTCACGTGGTGGGTGTCACGTGGTAGTCAGGTGGTGGTGTCATGTGGTGGAGTCAGTGGTGGAGTCCAGTGGTGTAGTCACGTGGTGCAGTCACGTGCTGAAAGTCACGTTGTGGAGTCATTTGGTGGAGTCACGTGGTGGAGTCACGTGGTGTAGTCACGTGGTGTAGTCACATGGTGTAGTCACGTGGTGGAGCCACGTGGTGTAGTCACGTGGTGTTGTCACATGGTGTAGTCACATGGTGGAGTCACGTGGTGGAGTCACGTGGTGTAGTCACGTGGTGGTGTCATTTGGTGGAGTCACGTGGTGGAGTCACATGGTGGTGTCACGTGGTGTAGTCACGTGGTGGTGTCATTTGGTGGAGTCATGTGGTGGAGTCACGTGGTGGAGTCATGTGGTGTAGTCACGTGGTGTAGTCACGTGGTGGAGTCACGTGGTGGAGTCATGTGGTGTAGTCACGTGGTGGAGTCACGTGGTGGAGTCACGTGGTGGAGTCACGTGGAAGTCACGTGGTAGTCACGTGGTGTTATAATATGAAGTTGATCCCTTCAATAATAGCAAAGTAACAGCCAGTTACAGCCAAAACAAAGTCAAGGTCATTCATGAGTGAAGGTCAAGGTCTGTCGAGTTATTTTTAAGGGTTATCCTTGAAGATTAATATGTTCAAGTTTGAAGACAATCCATTCAAAAATAACAAAGTTACAGCCAATAATAGCCAAAAACATGAAAATTTCAATAATTTGACCTTCAAAGTCAAGGTCATTTATGAGTGAAGGTCAAGGTCTCTCGGGTTATTTTTAAGGGTTATCCTTGAAGATTATTATGTTCAAGTTTGAAGACAATCCATTCAAAAATAACAAAGTTACAGCCAATAATAACCAAAAACATGAAAATTTCAATAATTTGACCTTCAAAGTCAAGGTCATTTATGAGTGAAGGTCAAGGTCTGTCAGGTTATTTTTAAGGGTTATCCTTGAAGATTATTATGTTCAAGTTTGAAGACAATCCATTCAAAAATAACAAAGTTACAGCCAATAATAGCCAAAAACATGAAAATTTCAATAATTTGACCTTCAAAGTCAAGGTCATTTATGAGTGAAGGTCAAGGTCTGTCAGGTTATTTTTAAGGGATATCCTTGAAGATTATTATGTTCAAGTTTGAAGACAATCCATTCAAAAATAACAAAGTTACAGCCAATAACAGCATGAACAAGCAAAAATTGGACTTTTAACCTTGAAGGTCAAGGTCATTTATGGATGAAGGTCAAGGTTAGTGTGGTCTACTGAAAGGTCTTGTCCCAAGGGTTGTTGTGGCCAAGTATGAAAACAATACACCAAGAAATAAAAAAGTTATGATCCAGGTACAAGTTTGCGGACGGGAACGGCAACGGCAACGCCGACCCGACTATAACAATACCTCTACTTTTTATTTTCAAAAAAAAAAAAGTCCAGCTAACAAATGTATAAATTGTGTATATCAGCATACCTTTTCAGATCTTCACCTTCTATAACATTGGGTGGACTTTTAAGTTTGTCTGTCCCTGCACCTGTTTGTGTGAACCCTTTACATACCCAGTTTACTTCCACACTCTGGGTTTTAACCTACAGTACACACAAATACACAAGCTCATTAACAACTGTGAAAGCACTATGAGACCAAATTCTTCAGAATTATTTTAAACAAGAGGGCCATGATGGCCCTAAGGTCGCTCACCTGTATGTAGGCCTCCGGAGCGGGGCCAGTTTAAACCCCAGGGCTTTTATTTGAACAAACTTGGAAGACACCTATAAGAAGACGTTTCATGATGTACACACTTATAATGAAAAACAATGATCTGCCCTCCCCTACCCCCGGCAGGGCCAATTTTAACCAAGGGCTTTTATTTGAACAAACTTGGTAGACACCCATAAGAAGATGTTTCATGCTAAACATCTAAGCTCTAGCTCATTGTGTTTTTTAAAGAAGATTTTTTAAGTTTTTACTATACACATATAGTTAAAAACAATGACACCCCTGGGGCGGGGCCAGTTTTGACCCCAGGGCTTTTATTTGAACAAACTTTGTAGAAACTTACTAGAACATGTTTCATGCTTAATATCTAAACTCTAGCTATTTGGGTTTTTTCAAAGATGTTTTTTAAGTTTTTCCTATACACATATAAGGAAAATCAATGACCCCCAGGGCAGGGCCAATTTTGACCCCAGGGCTTTTATTTGAACAAACTTTGTAGACACTCACTAGAAGATGTTTCATGCTTAATATCTTAACTCTAGCTATTTAGGTTTTTTCAAAGAATACTTTTTAAGTTTTTGATATACACATATATAAGGAAAATCAATGACCCCCTGGGCGGGGCCAATTTTGACCCCAGGGCTCTTATTTGAACAAACTTGGTAGACACCCATTAGAACATGTTTCATGCTAAATATCTTACCTCTAGCTCTTTGAGTTATTTAAAAGAAGATTTTTTAAGTTTTTACTATAAACATGTACATATAGGGAAAATCAATGACCCCCTGGGGCGGGGCCAATTTTGACCCCAAGGCTTTTATTTGAACAAACTTGGTAGACACCCATTAGAACATGTTTCGTGCTAAATATCTTAGCTCTAGCTCTTTGAGTTCTTTAAAAGAAGATTTTTTAAGTTTTTACTATATACATATAGGGAAAATCAATGACCCCCTGGGGCGGGGCCAATTTTGACCCCAGGGCTTTTATTTGAACAAACATGGTAGACACCCATTAGAACATGTTTCATGCTAAATATCCTAGCTGTAGCTCTTTGAGTTCGTTAAAAGAAGATTTTTTAAGTTTTTTCTATATACATATAGGGAAAATCAATGACCCCCTGGGGCGGAGCCAATTTTGACCCCAGGGCTTTTATTTGAACAAACTTGGTAGACACTTATTAGAACATGTTTCATGCTAAATATCCTAGCTCTAGCTCTTTGAGTTCTTTAAAAGAAGATTTTTTAAGTTTTTACTATATACATATAGGGAAAATCAATGACCCCCTGGGGCGGAGCCAATTTTGACCCCAGGGCTTTTATTTGAACAAACTTGGTAGACACCCATTAGAACATGTTTCATGCTAAATATCTTAGCTCTAGCTCTTTTGGTTCTTTAAAAGAAGATTTTTTAAGTTTTTACTATATACATATAGGGAAAATCAATGACCCCCTGGGGCGGGGCAATTTTGATCCAAGGGCTTTTATTTGAACAAATTTGGTAGACAACCATTAGAACATGATTCATGCTAAATATCCTAGCTCTAGCTCCATGAGTTCTTTAAAAGAAGATTTTTAAATTTTTACTATATGCATATAGGGAAAATCAATGACCCCCTGGGGCGAGGCCAATTTTGACCCCAGGGCTTTTATTTGAACAAACTTGGTAGACACTCATAAGAAGATGTTTCATGCTAAATATCTTAGCTCTATCTCTTTGGGTTCTTTAAAAAAAGATTTTTTAAGTTTTTACTATATGCATATAGGGAAAATCAATGACACCCTGGGGCGGGGCCAATTTTGACCCCAGGGCTTTTATTTGAACAAACTTGGTAGACACTCACTAGAAGATGTTTCATGCCAAATATCTAAGCTCTAGCTCTTTGGGTTCTTTAAAAGGAGATTTTTTAAGTTTTTACTATATGCATATAGGGAAAATCAATGACCCCCTGGGGCGGGGCCAATTTTGACCCCAGGGCTTTTATTTGAACAAACTTGGTAGACACCCATTAGAACATGTTTCATGCTAAATATCTTAGCTCTAGCTCTTTTGGTTCTTTAAAAGAAGATTTTTTAAGTTTTTACTATATACATATAGGGAAAATCAATGACCCCCTGGGGCTGGGCCAATTTTGACCCCAGGGCTTTTATTTGAACAATCTTGGTAGACACTCACTAGAAGATGTTTCATGCCAAATATCTAAGCTCTAGCTCTTTCAGTTTTTTAAAAGAAGATATTTAAAGTTTTTTCTTTTGGTTGCCATGGCAACCAGAGTTCTGCATGGAATTAAATTCTTTGAACAATTTTTAAAGGTGACCACCAAAGGAAAGCCGGAAATACAGCTTCATAATTTGAAACATATGTTTACAGTTTGTAAAAGCACATGTGAATGTGCAAGGCACCTAATGAATCAGTTTTACATGAATTCATGATCAGAAACTAACTAAAATTTCCAAAAGTTCTTATCAAAACATGATTATCTGATTTCAAGATGTGATATAATTACTAGAATTACCTCTTCTACAACTACACTTGCAGTGAAGAGTGATTTCCCTTTACATTTTGGACCTCTGACATTTGATGTTTGTATCCAGGTAGCATCTTCATAGTCCTCATATATACCAGCCAGTACCTGGCCTGGGTAAAAATTACTTATGTAAAATTCAGAATGCTGAAATAAACAACAATATTATGCTTTAAAGCATGTAATCTTGGCATTTTAAAATACTATGGGCCTAAAACTGAATTTATATACTTAATCATTTATTGAAATTCTCCTGTAATCAGTGCATAAATTGAAATCAAGCAGTTACTTGTATTTATAATTCTAACACCCTGTAACATTATATAAAGTATAAATCAGGCTGACATTCAATCTACATCATCAGTTTTTTAACATTTGGCATGAAATAAATTAAAATACATTACTGAAATATTTTAAAGCCTTGAAAGTAATCAATACATTGAATCTGAAGTCATACTGTGATAGATCTTTTTTTTGTAGAATTAATGATTTACACTAATTTAACATAACTATGCTTTGACTTACATTTGGTCTTTTGTCTTGAACATCTTCAAGGTTTAGCACACCTGCATTGCTAAGCTTGCATCTGCAAACAAACAACATATATGTGCAACCCAGAATAGCACACATATAAATCATTTTAAAGTTACTTTGCTTGTAATAATGTTCAGCATTATAAAATACAATGCAGACTATAATAAATAACTGTAACAAGAACTCATATCCTATCAGCAACTTTTTAAATGTTATGTTTTCATTAACCCTTAGACTGTGAGAACTTAAAGTGATGTCTTTGCCACCAGTTTAGAGCTGGGCCAGCCTGCACATATGTGCTATCTGACCAGGCTCTATACTGTTTGCTGACCAACTTAAAATTTAATCTTGATATAACCACAAAATTGATAACGGACTGTTCCCAAAATAGAAGATGGACAAGTCCATCTAAGAAATTCAGCATGATGATGTTAAGGATTAATTTCCAGTCTCAGTAAAATTACTCTGACAGTAATATACAACAACAATATAAAATTAAAAGTTAAGTGGTGTAATCTTTTCTCAAAATCATTTACCTTGCCCCACATGGGAATCGGACAGTTATCTCTTCAGTTACTTCCATGACATGACCAACCCAGGAATCTAGGGTCACTTCTCGTTCTGTATCAAATTCCTGTTTAGGAATAAATATCATTTCTAGAATTACATGCAAATTTTTTTTATTCCATTTCATTATCATTATTAGTAAAAAATCATTGCATATTTCAATAGGCAAAACAATTGAAACTACTTACAATTTAACAGTAAAACTTAATTTTGATATAACAGACCATAATATGGAATTGTGATTTTCTAGGTTATTTCAAAGATTTTTCCTTTTATAAACTACAATATCATAAAATTATGGCAAATAATAAGACTTACTTTAAAAAAAAAGCATCAATATCCATTATGTGATAATTCCATACATCCTAAGAGAAAACAAGCAATTATCATAGTATTGCAAGCAATCCATAAGTCCCCTACCGGTTAGAACCCCAGCAACATTCTGATTTCAATTTTACCAGTGAATGAATGACATGAATGAACTTAAATCTTTTGAGTTCTAAGTTTGTCTATTTCACAGTAATGTGTTATTTAGTTTCCCTGCCTAGTAAGGAAATTATGTTTATACAACCTTGTCATATTATTACGATGTGGGATTTTAAAGTAAATCCTATAAGGAATGAAGAAGTTGGAGTAAAAAATACCAATTTCTCGAAAAAAATCTAAGTTCAAGGAGGACATAATTCTGGAAATAGTCTTGCTAGAGTATTTAACCTTCTCAAAAATGTTGAGTGATAATAAGAAACATATATATGAAGTTTGTAGTAGATACATTAGGAAATAAAGAAGTTATTTAAAAAAGACAACATTTTTTTCATAAAAATTCTAAGTTCAAGGGAGGTAATACTGATAATTTTTGTGCTAGAGTTGTAAACCTTGTCACATATGATGTGGTTGATGACCAGAAACTTATATTTAAAGTTTGAAGTAAACACCTTAAGAAATAAAGAACTTATAGTGAAAAAGCTGAAAAATTGAAATCTTGAAATCCAGGCTATTTGTTGCTATAGCAACCAGAATTTTCAACATAGAAAGAAAAGAAAAAGATGTGCATAATCTGCAGACTGCCATCTACCCATATTTTAAGTTTCATAAAAATATTTTCAGTACTTTTTGAGTTATCACTGGATCCAGTTTATGTGTTAAATTTGCCATATTTTCAGACTATTTGTTGCCATAGCAACCAGAATTTTCAACATAGGAAGAAAAGAAAAAGACGTGCATAATCTCCATACTGCCATCTATCCATATATCAAGTTTCATAAAAATATTTTCAGTTCTTTTTGCGTTATCGCGGGATCCAGTTTTGTGGACGGACGGACTGACGGACTGACAGACAGACTGACAGATGGACAGACAGACGGACGGAGGGTAAACCTAAAGTCCCCTCCGGTTAAACCGGTAGGGGACTAATAATCTGTCAATTCTTTACTTGTAATTGAAGATTACAAGACATCTCCCCACTATATTAACATTAACTCCTACCTGTATTCGTTTTACATCTCTAGCTGCAATGTTGTAAATATAATGCTCTGTACCAAGAACTTTGGCATGGCACTTAATGTTGCAACTCTGGACAAAGCCTCTCTGACTCTCTTCTCCACTGATAAGTCGACGGACAACATCCCCTGGCATCAATGATCTGTCTGTAAGGATTACCTAGAAATAGAAATAACAGATGATAATAGATTATTATAACATACTTAACTTTATTTCAATATTCCTCTGACAGAAACTGAACACAAGTCATCACCATATTTTACTGTTAACAAGAGCAAATGACAGTGGTGGCGCGATAGCTCAGTTGGTAAGACTTCTGACTAATACTCTTGAGGTCCTGAGTTCTTTCCTGGATAACCACCTTGGGATTTTTCAGAGACACTTTCAGTGTTTCCCACCAACCTAGAAGTGTACTTGTAAGAAATCCAGGTACTCCTTGCATGTATCAGTGCTATACACTGGGCATGTAAAGGAATCAAGGTGTCTATCCAATAAGAGCTAGGGACTTGTACCTCATAGCTGTCTCTCAATACCATGTATACAATGTATACCTGCTTAGTGTAATTTAAAAGAGAAAAACAATTCTGAAGCAGTATGACATGTCTATGTCCCCACAACGGGTTTGACATTAACAGAAGATTGATAGATATAATGTTTTGTACCACAGTGATCTTCTCAGATTGACATATCTGTGGTGCTGTCTTACAGATAGATTTACAAAAGAAATAGTGACCAGTGACCTTCATTTGCTTCAGTCTTTTAACTGTCAACCATTTTTATCAAATGATACATGCATCTGATCTTCATGATATCCGAAAATCGACATATCCGAATAATAAAGTTAACAATTATATCATACTATTTTCAAGTTAACATCCTAGCATCTTCAACGTATTTACCTATATTAATTTTAACAAACGCGGTAAAAACATGAAAAATGTAATAAAGTCATGTACATGTCATGATAGATTCTTCAAGTTCATCACCTTATTTTCAGGCACGACAGTCTCATCTCCTCTGGGATGCCATGCAACTTTAACTTGGCCCTTTTGGACTCGATTTTCATCATCACTGTCGTCTTCATCACTGCTTATGTATTCAGAACTTTCCACAATCAACCCGTACTTGAATCCACCAGATGAAGTAGGAATGCATACTTCATCCTCATCGAAAATGCTGCAGGCAGCCATCTTGAAAAAAATTATAGTGATGACTAATTTCTGTATCTTACGTTCAACTTACCCGAATATGTCAATTGGGCGCATTTGTTGCCGATAAACTTAGTTTGGTTTCAAACCCGTTTTGTAAACCCTACATTTGTTTTTCAGTTTTTCACTTAAACTAAAACTGATTTAGTTGTTTTTAGAAGCGGAAACAAGAACCGGTTTAGCAAACTGATCAAACTGCCTCCAGATGCAGTTTGATCGGTTTAGGTTGTCCGAACATACATGCACTTTCCTGGAAAAATGGCGGCAGCCAAACATTAAGGAATGTTGGACCAAAATTCAAATCGGTAATTGACAAATGAGCATAATTTTTTAAACATTTTAAGCGGAACAGTAATGTTACTTATTAGTTGCAAAGTTGTATGACACAGCTTATAATGCTTTATAAGTATAACTTGTAATGTTGCATTTATAATCTAGAAGTATAGACGAAACGTACTCGAGTCTCAACGTACCCAGCATTAAAAAGTCAAAGTAGAGATCTACTTAAGGTGACAACGGAGTCAATTATTACTGAAAATACCTAAAATGAGATTCTTTGCTTAGTAGACTTATCAACCTTTTCTGAACACATTCGTGATTTAATTTTGGAAGCAGTTAGTCCAAAAAATGTTTTTTTTAAACGTTTTAAAACGGTACCTGTACCATTTTTATCTGCTATTCGCGTAACCTGTCAATTATCGATAACGCTCCGCCCCCTGTTGAGGCATCAATGAGGGAAATCGGTAGTTCCATGTATCCGTGAATTACCCGTCCATACTGGTCCATACTACTCGTAATTCATGTATCGTACAAATACCGTACATCTTTTATGAATATCGTCTACCTTTTATTAAGCATTTTTATAAAATAAGAAATTGTTCGGCCAATGTACGTAACATAATGTATGAAACATAAATAATTAAGCATAGCGGCAAAATCGCACGACCACGGGTTGATTTAAAATATAGTTGCTAAAATATCCATAATGTGTGAAAATAATTTGTCTGTCCCGTTAATCTGATAGATATTACATTGAGTTTATGGACTTTTGTACGGATTCATCGGCTTGCTTTACATTCAACTTCGTTTTCTAACAATGTCATGTAAAACAACATATATGTCTTATTTTTGGCAATAAAATATGTTTAAATCAAAAAACAACAACAAAAACAGACAACATTTTTATGTGAACGCCTATATGACTTGTGGTAAGGTGTCCCTGACAAATTTCTAAACCATTTTAGATTGTTTAAGGATGATCATTTCTCTATGAATCAATAAAAAAAGATATTAATATATACTATCAGTGAATGCTCTGAATAAATTGTTCGCCAGTAAATCGAACACAGTACTAATAAACCTGGGACAAAGTATGGAATTTATTGTATATCCCAGTAGAACCTGGATATCTATGCCGTGCATAGATGATTTTCATGATAAAAGAAGTCATAAAGGTCAGATCATAATGATCGAGTGATACCTTTTATTTCTATTATAATATGTCAAGCATTTATTTCAATTTGAAGGAAGAAATATATAATATCTCGTTTTTATTTTTACATTTACCATGGACTTTAAAAGACCATCAGAAGCTCAGTTTTTTGTTATTTTAATTTATATTTTAACGGAATTTCATACACGAATACACAGACAGAGTGACACTGGTATAATATAATAATAATGCTGATGATAATAATAATAATCTTCAAAAGTGAAACAATTATAAATACCCCGCTAGCGGTGCGCAAATACGTTCCATTTCCCCCCACCGAGTGCCTCAAATTTTACCGAAAGTCACGTGACATGTGCGACCGACAGTAAATCACGTTAAGATTTGAAGAAATTTCTGTTATAAACTGATATTAATCAGCAACTTTTTAATTGGTCAGATGTCACTGGGTCATAAAATGTTGTTAGAGTATGTTAGCGCAACTTGTGACCCTCTCTGGTGCGATATTTGTGTATTATGCAATTATTTAGCTTGAAACGTAGGGGTCCGAGAGAGAACAGCCGATTTATGACACTTCGTTTGATGCGGGTCGGACTAACTTTGAATCGGCATAACTTTTTTAATAATCAAGCAATTAACATGCGGTTTAAAGCACATGAAAGGGAATTTATTTACGGAGGGAACCGTGTCAGGGATTTTTGTTTGCTCAATCAGCGACTTAATTATCTTTAATTACGTAATATGTATGGTGAAAAAAGTCGCATAAAATGTTTGACGTTACGTAATATTTTTTTGAGAAAAGATAGAAAAAATTTGAGACACGGTTCCCCAGATATTATAAGTATGTTTATTTTCCAAAAGTTTGATGACAAAAAAATAAAAAAATGACTTTGATATGACGATTTAAAATTTTAGGATTTTTATTAAAAATCAATCATTTACAAAGTCATTTTTTTCAAATATGTTATTTTTTATGTTGATCAACGACATTTAATGCACAAAGATTAAATAAATAACAATTATTATTAAAATAAGTTGGTTTCAATGACATTTATTTGAGTACCACGGAAAGTGTCTGTTGTCACCTTAACATATATCACAAAATATTCTCTTCTATATTTTAGTTTTAATATTTAAAAAGTAGCTATTTATGTGATGAAATTAAGTATTCTTTAATAATTTACTTCTCACTCTCAGTCCTGTAATAAATTACGTTGAACTGTTGAATTATTATTTTCTAAGGATTCTTACTTTATTTCAGTATCACAGAACGAAATATTGCAAAGCCCAAGTTTTCAGTGGACGAGACCTGCTGTTCTTAGGTTAATAGCACTTTATAAAGAGAATGAAGCAAAATTTCAGAAACCAGCTATTAAGAAAAAGACAGTTTGGCAAGAAATTGCAAACAAAATTACTGAACACCTGTTACCAGTAACATGGCAGCAGTGTGAACAAAAATGGAAAAACATGACAAAAGCATACAGAGACACAATCGATAATAACCGAAAATCTGGTGCTGATAGAAAGGAATGCCCTTTCTTTAAAGAAATTGGAGAAATATATGGGTACAGACCAAATGTTACTCCATTACATTGTGAAGGATCAATGGCTGAAGCTGGTGAAAGTGAATCTAGCACAGGTAGTGAAGAACCAGGAGCTTCTACATGTAGTTCGCCGATCAAGAAAAAAAAGCAGAAAACAAGAAAAAACAAAACCGATACAGTAATACAGTTAATAGAAGATATGAAAGAAGAGCAAAGGGAGTTAATAACTGAATAAGAAAGCAACATGAAGATAGAATGACAACTGAAAAACAGAAAATTGAACTTTTGTCAAAATTACTGAAAGATTGAAGTTAAGAAAGCTGGACAACAGTATTGCTTGTTTTAAAATGCTCAGCACCTAGAACTGATTGCGTTTTAATATGCTCAGCACATAAAATGGTATGGCTTGCTTGAAAATGCTCAACACTTAGAACAGTACAGCTTGTTGAAAAACGTTCAACATAAAGAAGAGTATCACTTATTTGAAAGTAATTTACACATATAACAGTATCACCTGTTTGAAAATGATCAACATGTAGTACGCAATCACTTGATTAAGTATCTGTTTGCTGGATTGTTAATGTGCTAATTCATTCTGTTTTGGAAGTTCTGTCTGAAGAACAGACATTAGTGTTTTGAAATTTATAAAACCTTACTCAGTTTTCTTGTTAAAGTAAGATGGTTAGTTTTTAAAGTGTTCTAACATTTCATTTCAACTAGGCAGCAGATTACCTGCCAAATTTGTTTGCTAATTTTTGCCCAGTTTAAGGTCCAGGTGTTCTTATATCTACTTTGTTGACTTAATTGGTCATTTTGTGTTTCTTGCAAAGAATGCACCTGACTAACATTCTTTAGATATCCAAAATGTACAGTGTTTTTAAAATTAAATGATAAAAGTAATGATTTTCTCAGTTCTGCCATAGACTTAATATGATTCAGTTATGAATTGTGCTCCATTCAAAACATGGCTTTAAAAGGATTTAAGAAGGAAGTTCTGCGTGGTTTTATTAATAGTATAGTGGAAACTTCTTTATAAACGTATGTACATGTATAAAGCAAGTTTTCTTGACATGCTGTAAAAATTGTTGTGGCCTTCTAGTTTATTTTTTGTAAGATCAACTATACTGCAGTAAATATTATTAAAATGATTTTAGGAATTTCAAACCTATGGAATTTATAATATGCCCCATTGAACAGCTGTAGGGCGATATATGTGTGTTTTTCTGTGTGTGCTCACTTCTGCGAGTCGTATTAGCTTCATATCTTTTAAACTGCTTAAAGATTTTGAATTTATTTGTGTATTTGCTATTGAGATAATGTGTCCAGTACAGTTTTAAGCTATACTGACACAATTTCAATATAGTACTTGAGCTTCAAACTTCCACTTTACAATGGTTATATGTTAAGTCTCCACATCTTATCTCTCTTAACTGCCTGAAGTAATTTAGCAGAAATGTTTAACATAATGAAATGGCGTGTGTTTATTGGTCCATTCTTGTAACAGTTCAAGGTCATGCAGACACAGGGCAGAGCGCAAGTTTAAATGGTAAAGATATGCTTGGCACTCATCGTTGTTGTACACAGTAGCTGATACCAATACCTTTGCAGACAGAACTTATATATCTTTTAATATTTTAAGATAGACTTTGAATTTGCATTTTAGCAAATATCAGCTAAATGATGGAAACAAACTTCCTGTTGTAAGAAAACCAGTTTCGAAATTCAAGTATACTTGTTTTTATTTGAGCTTTATTTGATCATTTATTATTGTGGAAACTACAATCGTACGATGAACCCTTGTTTGTGCTAACAGTTTTTAATGCCCTTGTCTTTTTTAAAGTTTTAGGGTAAATTGACTCGACATATACTTTTTTTTAGACATGTTTAGTTATGACATGTGAGTTATTTCTCAGATGTGAGAAGGTGGAAATCAATATTGTTCTAGATTTTTTTCACAACTGATCATATTTTCATTGGAGATTCTTTATTTTACTTTTAAGACTTGTAGGAAAA